AGTAGCTCAGTATTGTCGAGATCACATGGTGAGGTTCCGCGAAAATGTAGGTTGATTATTAACTGGATATAGGCAGGATAGAAGCCGGGACGCGAGAGTCGCTGTCTTATCGCAGCAGACGGCCAGTACGGAAAGGAAAATGCAAGGCAGCAGGCAACAGCAGATGACGAGGAGGACGACGACGAGGAGCGTGCGCATTGCGCGTTGAAGCATCGGCAACCAGTTTTGCGAACGAGCCACCGCGAGCCACACTCGTCTTTTCTACGAGGTTTCTCGTAAACGTATGCTCTTCCCACGTGCTTGCCTGCAACAATTTTATCAGCGCAATTCCTTCCGGACTTTCTCTTTCATCTTCTCCAACTGGATTCTATCGCTCGCGACGCACATGACTTCGATACGCAAACCTACTTAGTCCGAGCAACCGTACGCCACAAGTGTTTCGTGGCCTGTGGAAATTCGGCAGTGCCTGTGCACTCCGCCTGCGTGGTTGCTCGGCGTGGCTCGCCATTCACCTGTGCTCGAGAGCCAGGATTTCTCGGGAGCTAGGCCTTGGCGAACGATCGCGGAAATCCGTCCCAACGGAAAACGCGTCCGACGACGGTTCTCCCGCGCCCCGCTGGCTAGCCGAGTGCCTTCTCGTATGGGTCCGGACAGACCGGGGCCGCCCGCGCCGCCACCGCCGCATACCTGCGCGACGGAGCACAATGGCCGCCGGCGGCTCGCTCACGCACACCTGCGCGCAGAAACGAGAATCGAACGCCAACTGACGCGTCATATAGAGTTTTAAGCTACAGTGAGCGCCGCGCCAAGTAGTGGAGGTAAGGTGCAGCGGCGCTGCGACCGCGGCGGTGAGTTTGTTGGCTTCGCCCAGCCAGTCTCCGCTCGACGACGCTACGCTGCCACGGCGTTCCTTCGCCTATGCAAATCGTGGTGTGATTGTGTTGTTGGCTGCTTTTCGCCAGATACGACCGAGTGCGCCAGTCGTCGCTCGTAAGCGTTTCGCAAAGTGGTTGTTGATGGTAAATAATGGGGTTGGAGTGAGAGTGGGAGGTCGTTTGTCGGGACACGCTCTGCATGGTGCTGGTGCTGGTGCTGTGTGTTGTAAAAACCGACGAGGACGCACGCCATGAGGATTCTCAAGACATTGCACTGGTACGGCAGTCGTTTCATAAATACGAATAACCAATCGAGCGAGCGAGAAAGAGAGGCACGCAACTTTCGCTTTCAAATCTATTTGTTTATTTGTTTTTCCGAGTTTCTCACGGATATACTTCTTACGAAAAAGCACCGAGTAACAATGCGCCTTGGCAACGATTTTCCGGTTGCTGCTTTCTTTCATCGCGACCGCGTCTAGACGTACTCGCGTACGCCGATGTCCTTGAGTTGCAGCCGCTGATTACTTCGCAGCTGAAAAATTCCGATTGATTTTTTTGTTTCGATGCGCATCGCGCTGCTCGGTGTCCAAGATAATCCCTGGTTCGAGGTCGTTAATTTTCGGGTTTTTCGGCTGGAAAGAGAAGGCGCGTGCACGCTCGCGCAGTCGAGATTCGCTCGGCGTCCGGTCCGCGTGACGACACGAAAGCAAGAGACGGATAACCGAGCGATTCCCGCCGTGCTGCCGATATCCACTCACCGCGAGGGAATCCTGCGCGACTCTGCGTCACGGTCGCACGGCGCACCGCCAGCCGGCGCCGCGTCGACGCCCACGATCGCGCATTCTAGTCGGCCTGCCTGCCACACGGAGCAGCAACGCGGCAGCTCTCTGAAAACCGGATGGGATCTCGCTCTCTCGTTCGCTCGCTCGCTCGGTCGCTCGCTCGCTCGCTCGGCTCGCAGACTTGACTCTCGCGCCAAGTGCCCGCGGCGGAAAACGATCGCGTCGATGCGCGCACGCTGCCCGCGCGTGCACAATTTTCGCTGACCAGGGTGAAAGCTCTACGATACGCGATCGTCGCGCCGACTTTTCAGTTGGGTCGGCGCACCTTCACGACCGAAAGCTAGATTAAGCAAACGAAAGCATGGCCTACATAATTTTCCTGCAAAAGCGACCAGAGATGAGTAACGATAACATTGCACGCAGCGAGTTGCTCGCGAAAGTGGCAGCGCCGAGGGCGGCGCCAAGGGCCCGAGGACTGAAGCGTCGAAATGCAATTAGGTTTGTCACTCACTCGTATCGCAGCCCCATGCTTGTCGCTAGAGCAGCAGCTTTGGCAGCTTCCGAGCTCGCAGTCGAGACAGTTGGAACGCTGAAATCGCGGAGCAGTTGGCGCGACAGCCTGCGCCTTGTGTTTCCTCTTTGGTCGATAACTTGCGCACGCGGCCGCGTGCTTCGATTGACAACGAGGTCCGCGGAGCGCCCTCGAACGGCCAGCGAATAGGGATGGCCAAGGACAGCTTTTAAATATAATCTAACATTGAAATCGAGAGCGCGACATGAATTATTTAAGCCTGAAATTCCATTAGTCCGTGAGACGACGCGAGGCGACGAGAGCGATACGCGCATGCCGACGACGGACGGCTAATTGTATAAGGCTAATGTAACAACGGAGTAGCAAGCCACACAAGATTGAGCAGCTTAATCTTATGTGGCTTGCTGCTCGCAAGTATCTCGACGAAACCGCTGGAATGCCTTTGTCGTTGCTCGGAGTGTCATTTTCTGCGCTGCATATCCGATCGGAATTTCAGCTTGCCATTACGATCCATGGATTCTGTCTCTGGCCATGGCGAGCGAATGCTCGAAATTCACCGAGGTGTCGCAGAAATTCTCACTGTCGAGTCAGGCCAGCAAAACCTGACACTAGCAGCAGCGGGCTGTTGGGCCGCTTGGCCGCTTCCAATCAAAAGCCTCGTCTCGTTCTGGCTCGTCCCGTCACTCCGCTCCAAGAAAGACAAGAACGCCCGATAGAATCCGGATCGGAATAATGTAATCCTCGCTATTATAGGCATACAGATTTGCAAGCTTGCTGCGTGCTTCGTTCGACCAATCGTTAAAATGGTATTTTAACGATCGCGCGCAACAGTCGTTAAGCTGGCTTTCGTCTGGAAATGAAAAGACAATTATGTAACTGCCTTCCTGGCGATTGTGCATGAACGAGTACGCAGCGTTGCCGAGTACTCGAAGGCTCCAGCTGCGGACAAAAGCGCAATTGCTATACGGTCGATTATCCCGGAAACGCATGGGCTGTCGTGAAGTATGCCGAGAAGCGCGCCCGACGTCGCCTGCAATAGGTTCCACCAATGAACCTTGATAAGAGAGCGTTCGCTTGCCTATCTAGCGTCTATTGTCAGAGAACAGGCGTACGTAGCTCGGGAGCGTGTCGCCACTTCGCCACCGGTCCAACCTCCAATTCGATCCTCGCGCACGCCGATAGCTCGCGGAACGGAAAGTCCCGTTGTGTCGAGTCGGTCGTAGGCCACGGCGATTTATCCGGCGAGTCGCCATCTAGCCACGCGCAGTCGTGGGACTTGGAGTGCGCGTGCCGCCCGATTCGTTTTACCCGTAAGCTTTTGTGCTGGAATGATCGGTCGCCGCGCGACGCCAACGCGCAGACAGGGCTGCAATACGATTAGGCTGCGCGTTGCACCAGGCGATCTCGCGGAGCCTGCCGGCAGAACGAGGGAGGAACGCGGTCTTGCAAAGCCAACGCGAGCAAGGCCTAATGAGTCCCCGGCCAGCGCTAAAGATGCCTCGCTAACTGCGCGTCACGCGGCAGCGCTCGCAGACCACTCGGGACCACGTGCGGCCGAGCAGTTGCTTTTTTCCCTGCGCCATAATAAACAACTCCATGCATATATGCACTGGCGTACAGTGGCCGCACCCATTGTTTCGCCGTACGCAGGCTCCTTTTCAAGCTTGCCAACTCGCGCTCTGCAAAAAAGCAAACTCTTCCGGGAAGGCTGAAAGCACGACGACAATTTTTCGTTCCGCAACGAGACCTACGCACAATGCGGAACTGCCGCCACCGCGGCAAACTGTGCATTTTTCGTTGGGCGGCTGACGATTCATTTGTTTGTTTACTTATTTATATTTACTTACTTATTGCGACTATTGGTTTCCGGAAGCAAAGTGTTGCTGTTACGCGGCTGATTGGATGTGTAATTGAGAGAGAGAGAGAGAGAGAGTCATAATAAATATGGGCATTGATCAAGTCAATGGAATCGTAATAATTCGCGGAGCAAACAATATCAAGTTCGAAGAGTCGTTGAGCTACAGCGAACAATTTGAAGATTTTGAAAATAAAGCGCAACGCCATATTTAGTGGGCAAATGAGCCAGGCACGAAAATTAAAGCCCCTTCACGAAGGAAAGTGAATCATTTGCAGGTGTGCGATACGGAAAATCAATTGTCCCGTCAAATGCGTCACTGCCCCGTGCCCGTAAAATCTTTCGAAAGCGTACCTACGTACACAAAAATGAATCAGCCACGCGTGTGCATTCGAGCGGTGAGTTGATCAGAGCCGCTAATTGCGTCGTGTACTTCGGCCGAACCTTTCTCCTGGCGTGCACGTGTGAGTCAGCGGCAAACTAACGACGGGGAGAAAAGTGAAATGGGATTAGAAGATTGCACAAAAGACTTTCCGCGATTTTGCGCGCGTAAGCGAGTTAGGGCTCTGCTCGCGTCGTGCGACAATTTTCTCTCGCCTGATTAGAGAGGTGCCGAAAAATCAAGGACGTCCTAATTGATTACCGGCGCTGGGACACGGGCACCTGCGCACGTAGCAATATCGTGAAATCGTCAGGCACAGCGAAGCGACAGCACGGGTTTTCTTTCTCGGAAAACAAAGTCATATCAGGCGTGAAAGTTGTATTGTTACGGGAACGAATTGACTTTCCACGTGGCATTGTTGTCATAATACAGCTATCGAACGGCCATTGAGTCGGCAGTCGGCTTTCCAAGGAGTAGTTCTCTAATAAACCGTACTCGCTAGCGTATTTCAGCTAGAAGACGAGAAACTCGAGCGTTGAATAATAGAGCGACTGTGTTGTCTTGGCAATTGCAGGTCACGAAATCGGCCGAACAGTGGCGTGGCAGGCGTGCCGTCCGGCGTGCACCAGCATCAGCAGCAGGTTGGCGGGGTTGCGGTCGATCTAGGCAAAGTCGAGTCCGTGGGTCCCGATGAGATGTGGGCCCCGGGCTCGGGCCATCACCGCGAGCTACCCGTCGACGTGCCCGACACGCTCCTCCAGCAGGCCTACCCCAACAACAACAAGGTAATAATAGCCATGCCCCAACGGGCCGAGCCGCAATCGCCAAACCCACGCCCGCCAATCCCCATTCCCCCCGTCGTCAGTCCCGAAGACCTGCATCTCCACTTCGAGGACGACTTGGCTCGGCATGACGGCGACGACGGCGACGACGACGACGACGACGACGACGACGGCGACGACGGCGACGAGGACGAGGACGAGGGCGATCGCCACGATCCCGTCATCGCCAACGAGCGGAGGATCGAGCTGGATATCGTGGATCTTGACAATCCGTTCGGCGACGAGGAGGACTTGACTGGTCACAAGGAGTCGAGCGTCGACGCGGACGAGGATTATCCGTTCGCCAAAGAGGATTATCCGACGATGCTCAAGACCTGCAGCGACGACTCGGCCAGCCCGAGAAGTAGTTCCGGCAGATCCGACAGCACGGCGCCCATGGACAGCAGTCTGGTGCTGAGCAGCGCTACGAACAACGGCACCGCCTTCGACAATCCCGCTTACGGCATGACGGACGAGGTCGCCTTGCTCATCGACGGACAAGACTCGAGCAAGCCGAACGCTCGCAAGCCGGCGCTCGAGATCAGCGTCGACAGGAAGGCCTCCAACACGCCGAGCAACAGCACGCCCAAGAAGAAGAAGCGCCAGAGCGCGAGGATCGGCGCCCCGGAGGCCGAGGAACTGCTTCGCGTCGGATCCGCCGACGAGCTGTTGGGCGTGCAATTGTCCTCCATGCCGAGAGTCCGCAAGAAGAAGCAGCACTCGTCCAGCGGCTACTCGACGCTGAGAAGCGATGCTTCCAACGATTACGACCAAGTCGATCACGCGTCCTTCCTCGTCGTCGGCGGCAGTTATCGCGAAGTGGCGGTCGATTGCCCGGCCGATTTCGTGCCGGTGACGAAAAGCCATCCCGTGTATCCGCCACCGCAACCCACAAAAAAACGACTCCCCACCAACGCCAACACCACCACGCCCAGTAAAAAGGTAAGGTCGCGAGTGCGCAGCTTGTTCCGGCTTAACCTTGCTACTTCCAACCATCACCTTGCACCGCCATCGCCGCGTCGCCCGCACGCCATTAACGCATCTAACACTGCGGACGACTCCTTGTCCAAGTCGCTCGTCTACTCGTGCGACGACTTCGCGGACGATTGTACCGAGGACGAGATTATCGATGAGCTGCTGTTTGATAATCCCTACCTTGCAATCTCCGAGCCAGCCGATGGCTCGAAGAGGAGCCAGCTGAGGAACTTGTCGACTTGTCTGGCTGACGGTTACGATGCCGATTTTGAGAAACCACCCGTAAGATTTGAACTTATGGATGACGCTGAGTTTCTCACGGAGAAGAATCAGAACTCGAGGAACTCGGTTAACGAGTTTCGAGTACACTATACACCCAGGCGAGACGGTAGCATCCGATCGAATCAAGTCTCGCCGAATACTCAGAACCTCAATAACTCTAGGCTGTCGCTGGCGTACAGACAGTCGAGGGGATTTAGGGCTAAGGGTTTAGCGGCAACGAGTAGGTTACTATCGAAGAGCGAATTGGATTTGTCAAAGTGTGCTCTCTCGAGGCAAGCCAGTGTCGTTTCTTCACCGCCTAGAGTCGTCGGGGTTGTGAGAAAAAGGCAGGGCTCCGAGGATGAGGATGATGCTGCTATCGACGATTGCGCAAAGGTAAATTTTGACAGCGAGCTACGATTTGACGGAAAAGCAAGGCTTTTTCCTTTTCATGACTCGAAGCGCTTGGGAAGGCCTGAAAAATCGAATGGCCGCTCGCGCCGATGCATTCTTGATCGCTCTAGAGTCGGCTAATAGAATTGCTGGACGAAAATAATACTCCCGGCCAAGAGATGTTTTCAAGTGACCCTTGATATAAATTGCAAAAATCGCGTGGCGGCTCGCGAGCCCATCGACAGGCCGAGTCGTTCCTGAACGTGTGTCTACGGGCAAATATTGCAATAGCGGACGACGAAGTACAGCAGAAGTAGCGCTCGAAGCGAAGTAACGACGTCTTAAAATGTCCACAATTTATTTAAAAGTATTCTCACTGTCAGCTGCAAGTTGCACGTAATTCTCGTGCGCGTCGCGTCGTCCGTCGACGAAAGAGGAACGAGGCAACTGCAATCGCGAACGCAAGCCGAAAAGAAGCCAATAAAATGGCCGAAGAACGTTTCGATAATGGACGCGACGGACAAGCGCAAGAGAAACGGAGAGTGAAAAAGCCTTGCGAATCCGCGCCGAGAGAAGTGTTGGGAGAGCGAGGATGATTGAAGGGAGTTGAACAACAACGAGAATGAGAATCGAGGCTGGAAAGAGTACTCGTGGCAGCTTGACGTTTCTCAGCACGAGACACGGTAAAGTAGAGAATTGAGTTCACACGTAAGCGCACGTAATTTCCTCTGCCGCGAGCACACACATACGTAGCCCGTCTTTTTTGCCGCTTCCTGCTTCAGCATTGCTTCTTCTTCTTCTTCCTCTTCTTCTTCTTCTGGCCTCGTCTCTTTTTTCACTTTCGGTTGCATGTATTTAGTGTTCGCTTTACAGCTGCGATTCAGTCCCATTCCTCTTTCTGCCATTTACTTAGCCTACGAAATTCCGAAATTCTTGCGGGATTCTTTAAAATAAGTATGATGAGATCTCTTATACGAAAGCGTTTCAACATTACTTTTCCTGCAGGCTGATTTCGTTGCGATCCAATTGGCAGGATACGTGGACAGATGTTTTTCTTTGCGATTCAAAGCATTACAGCTTAACGCTGCGATTGCGAGCGGCTGCAGCTTTTCAAGTCACTTTTCAGGCCTCATTATTTCACGTGGAATCTCGTATAACATTTTACCATTTTCTATAGACTGTCTTCAGTTTCTTGAGTTTCTCGTCATATGAAAATCCTCAAGTTTATCTATCAGTGTTGATTAAGTTGGAGAGAACTGTCGAGAAAAGACCTCGTGGAGCGGGTCGCATGACATTGCCCAGTTTCCCCGAGTAACGCATCGCGGAAAAATGTTTTGCAGGCCGGACTGAATGGCGTCAAGCCGGCAATTCCGCCTAGGGATCAAAAGCGAGCGCCAGCAAGGCCACCGAAAGATAACTTGCGTTTGTCCACGGCGATCTCACCCAACAACAACATCGAGGAGCCTGTCGCCGCAGTCGTCGAGCCACACAAGACTGAGCCTACCGAAAAGGAACTGTCATCTATCAAGAAGTTTCAGGTACGTACGCGACAGGTCTAAGCCATGCGCTTTTTCTCAAAAACGGAACTACGCATTTTTCGTTAGGGATGGATGATTTTCTCTGGAGCCTGGCTTTCTTGGCCAATGCTCTTTTTGTTACGCTTCGGTAATGCTTATTCTCATCGAAAATAGATTCTCTTATCAAGCCAGTCGATATCCTAGTGATATCTCCGAAACTGGACGCTCGCAGTAATCTCGGGATTCAGAATGGAGCTCGACTGCGAGCGTAGATTTTTCCAGAATGAAATGAAACGATAAGCACCGCGAACGAACATAAAACAAAAATATTTAGTATTTCCAGTATGAAAATTACGCAAAACTTGAATAGGTAATGGCATTCGCAGGCCTCTCGGTCTTTGGTACGATTCTCCAAATTTTTCGTCGTAAAGAGAAACAACGAGCGCTTGGAAAAGCAGTAAAAGATCAATTCCAAACTAGTGCGTTTTATACCTGCTTCGTTGGCTTAGCAGCCTGGAATGTGAAGAACGGTTTTAGTAGTGCATCAGTGCATCGCTCGAGGGCGAGCTGTCGATAGCATCTCTCTCTCTCTCTCTCTCTCTCTCTCTCTCTCTCTCTCTTTTGGGAGCATTGCGTTTGGTGGTAGAGTGCTGATTTAATTTCTTTTCTCGATGCAAATTGATTGCTGCTTTCAATTGGATAAGGCGACCGAAGCTGGTCGAGTTGGATTTTACGAGGTTGAAATGTAGATTATGTCGGTATGAATTGTCGCTGTGACCTTTGATACTTTGATTATTTATGGAAACCAGTGTTATTTAGAACGCTTCGCGCGCTCTTTTACATTTTTCTGTTATTACATTAGTTGAACCTTTCACGAGCCAAATTGAAGATTTTAATGGACACGAATAAATTATGCTGTTTAAAATGTACTACATACATAAATATTTATTAATGGATAAAAATAGAACTTGCACCCGTTTTTTCTCAAAAACCAATGAACTTTTACTCATTTCAAAATAAATTATCCAAAAGATCAATTAAATCTACGATCAATAAATTATACTATTATATAACACTAAACTTTTTATACTCGGGTAATGATTATGGCTCCAATCTTATATTAGTACGAGTAATACATTTAACATTGTATGCTTTCTGTTGCCTCTTTAAAAACACCCGTGAATATTTTTCCAATTTAGCGGGTTTAATATTCTGATAATTGGTTTCCCTTACTCGCAAACTTCTTAATTTACAACGTACGAAAGATAAAAATGTATTTTCATCTATATCATTCTATTCATTTTCTTTCTCTTTCTACCAAATTTCAACACGACAATATTCATTTCAGTATCGCAGATGGCTATAACATTAACGATTTGTACTGATAATTTCAAAACGTAACATCTTATGTCTTGAAAACGATTTATTAACGGCAAATTTCCGTTCTTGCAGATTATTATTCATGTTAAATATGTTCATGTTAAAATAATATTCATGTTAAAATATTTAAAAGTATACGAAAAGCATCAACCAATCACAACGCTGGATGCCTGTGAATCATAATTTTTGAAGATAGGAATACGCGACGAAGTGATCGCTCACTTTGGAATTATCATCGATTTTGTTTCTCGGCATAAGACATCGCGAGAGGTTAACAGGCGTGCGCGCAAAATCCTAAGTCTAAAGGCACAATTTAAATTTGTTTTCTTTCTCTGGCGGTCGCTCTGGAGAATGGAAAAATGTGCATGCTGCACGTGCGCCGCAACGCCGACCATTCCGCAGCGCCGAGCAGTTCCGCGCGGCTTAATCAGCGGATAAAACTCCGCGAGAGCGTACAAAGCGGAGAAACAGGCGCCGGAGCGCGTGTGCTGACTAACGGGATCGCCGCACGGCGTTACGCTTGTTTATTAATGAGCGACTTTTTTCGAGCGTTCTGCCGAGGCATCACGACTGCAGGCAGCACGTCATCGCAAGCTTTCGTTCTCAGAGCAATCACTCGTCGCTCTTTGCGCTTGGACAATAATGCGGGAAGTACAGTTAGACGGCACATCGAAAAGCCGGAAAAAGGCAGGCGGCACTCGGTCAATATCCATTTAGCAAGGAGTTTCACCACAGAGTTGGAATACCTGTTCGAAGCCCCGCTTGCGGATTATTCGCGCTACGGCTTCTTGCACTCGCTCGTTGTATCCTTTTCCGTTTTTCCCGCTTTCCCGCTTTCCCGTTCGGCCCGGCTCGCGACATGCCTCTTCTCTCTCCCCAAGGGAAAATCGCTCTCGGCCGCCTCTTCTTCTGGCCTTTGACGTTTTGGAGCTTGGGACTGGCTCGCTCGAGAAAAATTATTTCCGAAATCGTGAATGCTATCGATGCAAGCCGAGCTCGAGATCGACCGAGCGGTATCGCAGTAAGCGAGGATCGAACGTGATACGCGACACTGAACGTTTCTCGAAACTTTCAGGAACAAATACGAAAGCGAAAAGATGAGGAGGAGCAGCAAGAGATTCTCAAGCGGTCGCTACGCGGCTCGCGCAAGCTGCAGCTGCTGGAGAGCCACGCGACAACGCTGGCCGGCCAGGAGAATCTGGCCTACGCTCAAGACGAGCCGCCCGCCGTAGCGACCAGCCTCAGGTCGGCCGCCAGCGCGGCGTCGCACGCTGCGGACACTGACGAGCCAGCGCGATCGCTCAGTAAGCGCTTCTTTCCGTTCTTTCCGTTATCGCCGGCTCGCGCACGCCAAGCAAACCGGCCGCGTTTCTCCAACTGGCTCTTTGCACAATCCGCAGCACGCGGAATATGCCGGCCGCCGCAGTCCGTGCAATTTGCATGATACGCAGGCTGACCGAATAACTTAAGCTCTACCCGAGTCGCGCAATCATTGAGTGCTTGTTTCGTTGTTTGTTGCGCAGCCTACGGCGAAGTGGTGGCCACGCTCGAGAGGCTTCAGCTGCAGCTACGAAACATCAGCGGCAGCTTGGGCATATCGGGTCCGGGAGTCGAAGCCGAAATCGAAGCTGTGAGGACGCTGCTTGGACAGAAGCGATTCGCCAATGCGCTGTCGACGCACCACGCGATCAAGGCCAAGCTGCGCTCTGGCAAGAGCTTGAAACTTCACACGGACGACGCGTCCAGTCTCGCCAGAGATGTAAGCTGACGACCTCCGTTCATTTCCTGTTGATACTCTTTTTCTAAATGCCGATCACCGCACTCCACTGCAGTCGCGAACCAATCTCAAATCAATGTAAATAAAGGCACGACCGCTAATAAAACTCGCTCGAGCATCGTCTAACTAGTCATTCTCGTCGAATGCCTATTGCTTCGCGCGGCAATTAACGTCCAGTTTCTAATGGATAGTCGGATTACGAATGCCTTTGTGATTCCATCAGCGTGCTCATTGCCTAGTCTTCCGCGCTGTATTTTCTCTCCCGCTTTTCGTTTCTCGTTTCTCGTTTTTCGTTTCTCGCTCCTCGCTCGTCGCGGATCAACCGGATAAAAGATGTACGACGAAAGAGCGAAAGAGCCGCGTCCGCTGCGAAAGCGCGTAGCAGCCCGGATAGCGCGGCTAGCGCGCTGGCCTCGACACCAAGCTCCCCGCCAGCGCTCGCGCCGCAAAAGTACAGTTGCTCGATTGGCACTCACGCCGACGTCGTTGGTCTCGTTGACAACCAGTGCGTGGAGGTGCTGGAGCAATGGACACAGGCAGCAGCAGCCGCGTCGGCAGCCAGCCAAGGCGAGAACATCGCCGCGGCGGAGGAGCTCGTGGGCCTGCTCACCAGCTACGAGATGGAAGGCTTGCTAATCGCCCACGACTCGGCGGTGGTGCGCGTCGAGGGCTTGCAGCGCAAACCGAGCTCGCCAGGTGCGCACGGAAGCTCGCCGTCGCCCTCGCCCTCGCCGTCGCCGAGCTCCAAGGACTCGCGGTTGGCTGACAACATCAAGATTATCAGGATCGAGAAAACCAACGAGCCGCTTGGCGCTACCGTGAGGAACGAGGGCGACGCCGTTATCATCGGTGAGAGATTTTGGCCTAGCTGCGCCACCTATTTACCAGTCTTGCCTGCGCACACGCCAGTTCAAAGCAACCGATTGATTTCTGCTCGTTTCTAACGGGGAGCATTATTTTTAGTTCTCGTTGGCAAGGATGCTGCGGATCGAACGTGTCCTCTTGCCTTGAATACGAGCCCACGTTAAGTTGCTTTTGTTTCCAATTCTCGGATCGGTTACTTTTGCGTATCATCGTTTCATTCGAAGCGGCAGCGAGAGAAGATTGACCGCTGGATGCGGAATATGCCGATTATTATCAGCTAGCTCGCGTAGCATGACCGCGCTTGAAACGCGCTACTTGCGCCTGTTATGCAGCTCAAAGTGCTCGTTTAACGAACCTTTCTCTTGTTCGTCCGTTGAACGGCGGCGGATCAGGAGAGCCGCTTTATCGGACTTTGATCGCGTTCGAGGAGTTTGCGTTTGAGAAGCGCTCAAACGTCGAACGTAGCGTTGCGCCAGGTGTGCAGACGCGGACAAACTAATGCGCGTGTCTCATTTGCACAAAAAGGTCGCGTGGTGCGAGGTGGCGCGGCAGACAAGTCGGGTCTGCTGCACGAAGGCGACGAGGTGCTGGAGGTGAACGGCGTGGAGATGCGCGGCAAGAGCGTGAACGAGGTCTGCGACATACTCGCCGGTATGCAGGGCAGCCTCACCTTCCTCATACTTCCCGCGCCCACGCAGAGGAACAGCAGCCGCAAGGAGGACGCTCAGCAGGTAGGCCCACGCGATCTCGCGCGATTCCACGCGACGCGCTTGACAGTTACAGTAAGCGAGCCCAACGCCCATTTTCAGATCCACAACGTGAGAGCCCATTTCGATTACGACCCGGAGGAGGACCCCTACATCCCGTGTCGAGAGCTCGGCGTTAGCTTTCAGAAGGGCGACGTTCTGCACGTGATTTCGCAGGAGGATCCAAACTGGTGGCAGGCTTACCGAGAGGGCGAAGAAGACCAAGCGCTCGCCGGCTTGATACCCAGCAGAGCGTTCCAGCATCAGTGAGTTGTTCGCTTGTACTTGTTTGTCTTGGCGTCGACTCGTTGCCACTAACCACTGGCGCTCGCTCTCTTCAGGCGCGAATCGATGAAGCAGACAATAGCTGGTGACAAATCGACGGTGCGCGGAACGAAGAAATCCAGCACTCTGCTGTGCGCCAGAAAGAATCCAAAGAAAAAGAAGAGGGGCAAATTCGGCAATCTCAACGACGACGGCTATCCTCTTTACGCGACCTCCTTGATCGACGGTAAGTGCGCGAGAGTCCAAGCTCAACCTCAGCCCGAGTCGCAAGCACGTCGCCAAGCTACGATTTTCGGTTTTCCTCCGCTGTCTTTCGTTGCAGATTACGACAGCGAGGAAGTGCTAACGTACGAAGAAGTGGCCTTATACTATCCCAGGGCCAACCACAAAAGGCCCATAGTGTTGATCGGTCCGCCCAATATCGGTAGGCACGAGCTTCGCCAGCGATTGATGCAAGACAGCGAAAAGTTTGCAGCTGCAATTCCCCGTAAGTTTCTTTCGATCCATCTCTCGCTTGCTCTGACTCGCGCGTCTTTTCTCGTGCGACCTGCTCTGCTGGCTCTTTGTCTTTCCAATACGTTCACCCGGGCGAACTTTTCTCAATCCCGTAATTCAAGCTGATACTGACTGTGCTTTTATTTTGCAGACACGAGTCGACCGCGAAAGGACACAGAAGTGGACGGCCAGGACTATCACTTCATATCGCGGCAGCAATTCGAGTCGGATATCCTGTGCCGTAAATTCGTGGAACACGGCGAGTACGAAAAAGCTTATTATGGCACATCGGTCGAGGCCATACGTACGGTCGTGAATAGCGGTAAAATTTGCGTGCTAAACTTGCACCCGCAATCCTTAAAAATACTTCGCAATTCCGATCTGAAACCATACGTCGTGTTCGTCGCGCCACCGAGTCTCGAGAAGTTGAAGCAGAAGAGGATAAAGAACAACGAGGCCTACAAAGAAGAAGAGCTCAAAGATATTATCGAGAAAGCACGAGAAATGGAAGATAAGTATGGCCATTTGTTCGACATGATCATTATCAACAATGACACCGATCGGGCATACAATCAACTGCTCTCCGAGATCAACTCGCTCGAACGCGAACCCCAATGGGTACCTGCCTCCTGGGTGCAGTAGACACACACCCACACTAGCGCTCAGTTATTTTTGCATAACTTGCGCCAAGAACATTGATCGACGACAGCAAACAATTGTGCGCGTGTGTGTGGTGTACGTATGTGTGCGTGTGTGTGCGTGTGCGTGCGTGTGCGTGCGCGTGTGTGTGTGTGTGCGTGTGTATGTGAAAGAAAACGCATATACTTATATATAATTTTAGACACGTTACTCACGGGTGTTTTTTTCTTCTTTTTTTTACTACTCCAGAGTAATTGTATATATTCGTACGTAGGCAATGTTTCATGGGTTACAACGCGACTGTTGATAATGTTTATTGTAATCTATATTTCTATTTTTATTAGACCATAGACGATTGTACTTAATTTACTTTATTTGGATAACAATAAAATGTATATGTGTTACGAAGTGACGAATTATTGTTTACTTTTCGAATAATTATGAGTTTCTTCACGGCAATTATTCCTTTCTTTAATAACGATAAACCGGTTGATCTTTCGTAAGAGTAGCGTATTGTTGTGTGAAGTACGAATGAAAAACGAGACATTCATATAAAAGATACACATATTCTAAATCGAAAGTTTCAATTATCGATATAATGCACTTTTAAGATTGTCAAAGTGAAATTTTACGATGTCATTGTTGAAGTTTACAAGATACAAATTACAGTACTAAATTAACTGTTCGTTACACATAAGTTTCAGAGTTTTATCCTTAAGTATTTCCGTTCAAAGTTTAATTGTAAGGATTTTTCTATTGTTTATTATGAAAAATCGTTGAATTTTTCCGAAGGAAAGCAAAAATGACTTTACATGCATTTTACTGATGAAGTATTAAATTTATAACAAACAAATTAAGATGAATTATGTACAAGCTAGAAAAATTACCGAGGAAAAAAATTTATTAAGCGAGTGGCAGATAACTAATTATTGAATAATAAGCTAACTCGTGATTGTTTAGATGAACAGAAGTAAACTCAGAAGTCGGTAAAATAACTATAAAAAATTAACTTAGACTCAATAGTCGTGACTATGTTGCTTAAACTCAAATCACGTATACAGAATGCAAAGTAAAAATAGTTTCAATCGAAGAACAAAAAAATGTACTCATACTTTTTTTTCAGCATGCTTGATAAAGAAAGAAACAATTTACAAATAAACACATATTGTACGTTTCAAACTCATCTCTTCGAGCGGTGCGAAGATACTTTGACACTGCTGTTTATCACCGCTGATACGTCCATTTCGTCCATAATTTTTTATCATTTATTTAATTTCTAAATCTAAGCGACCGATAAAAATGTTACATGTATTTACAGATGACACAAAGTTCTGTTTTGAAGAAAAAATTTTGTAATTTAACAAAAGCAATCGAATTGCGCACTGTAACATCAACAAACTATAACAAATACGCTATATCTGCATTGGGTTTTATACGTTGTTAAAGGTAATCAAAATAATTATAATAATAAAACTCGAGAGATTGTTCAAGGGATTTTTTCTTACAGTGCTCAGTTCGATGAGAAGCCCATTTACGAAGAAGGCTCGATTTTTGCAACTAAATTTTTACAATATACTTGATACTATATTCTGTAAAGCAGAGATAACAAACAAAGGCAAACGAAAGTGAAAAAAACAGCCGTATATATTATAGGCAGTAGTGCTCGAGATGAAAGCTAAAAATAAAGAAAAAAAGGAAATGAGACTCGTTGTGCCAATAATATTTACCGTTACGATAAGCCAGAGAAAGGACTGCGAATTAGAAAAAAAAATTAAACAAGTATATTATAAATATAAACGAATGTGCCAAAACGGAGATAAAAAGGGGACTTGAGAGTTTTCTGAAAAAAAAAGAACGCGCTCAAACGGCACCGTACGATGTAGAATACGCCATAACTGTTTATGTAAATATCTGTGCAATTGTATAGAAAAGAGTAATGCAGAGTTATATATTAGGCATTAATTTTGTGAGGCTTCCTTTCTTGAGACCGAACTAACTCTTCTCTCTCAGTCTAAGTTTGCTTTCGAGACCTCTTTATTTCTATTTATGTATTATTATCGTCAACTTAATCATATAATTTTTAGCGAATGGAATGAATAATATGTATAGCTGTACACGTAAGTCTGCATTGCGATTCGCTAATTTTTCGAAGAGTTTGCTTGGTCTCAATCTAGTTGCATTATCATTAAAAAACTATTATTGTGATTACCTTCACCATTTATTGAATTATCAATCGTATTCCTAAGAGATTACAGAGAAAAAAAATTAAAAGGTGTGTGCATTAACTATTATTGATATTGATTTTATGTGTAATATAAGCGTGCAACATTCAATGAAATAAAACACTAATTAAATAACAAGAAAAGATATATAGAAACAGAGTTGTATATAATAAACAGAAGAAAACGTATACCTATATTATACGCACATCAATGGAGGTATGGAGACATAAAAAAAAATAAACAATCATAGTTGTCTCATGGCGAACGTAATCGAATCTCATCGACGTCCAAATAATTTTATTAATTTCTCGTCTTGCGTTGACGTCACCGTCGAACCCATCGCGTCGTCTATGATATTTCACACGCAAAATAATAGAAAAAGAACTTGCGACAATATATCAAAAGAAGACGAAAACGCGGAAGGATGTACGCATCGAAACGGGTGTTCGACGGCAATGCCGAACGTGATATATTTCTCGTATTAATACACGTGTCGAAAAAAAATAATCTAAGTAGCAATAACGAATGTCCATTGTTCGTTCAACATGCCATATGACGCAGAAGAAAAAAATAACGCAACAAAAAAAGTAAAGAAAAAAGCGAGTTTCAAAGGTCCAGCGGGCACGTGAAAAAAAATAAAGGAAAATATAACGTTTAGGATCGATGGTGAATTAATGCTCGCGTCTCGGAATTGAATCGCATGATACATAAGATAAACAAATATGGTAGATACAAAGATAAACAATAAGGTAAATTGAATATATAAGATATATAAATAAAAAATCGTAGAGAGAGAGCGAGTAAGAGAGCATATGATTGTTGTTTTCAAAATATATACATAGAACGGAGCGAGAAAGAGCGATCGAAAAAGTATGTATGTGTGATGCGAGAGTGCGGGACGGTGGTTCATTTTCGAGACGATCGCGATTTGTAGGTGAAAAATTCTGAAATGGGTGTGCGACTATATATATATATATATATATATATATATATATATATATATATATATATATATATATATATATATATATATATATATATATATACACACACACAGACTATATATATATATATATATATATACACACGTATACCGTCGTACTATACATAGGTGAACAATTCTGATATGATATTGTACGATCCGACCGCGAGAAACCGTGCCGAAGTTTCATGTTTTAACTCCCAACAATTCTGTTACGATTTCCCTTGAATAAAGGTTACTATAACATTTATCCATTGTTCACTTTAATCGATCTTCCACTGTCACCTGTAAATCCCTCTGTCGAATTTTTTTTCGTAGGAGACTATATCTAAAACTCGACTTTTCATTATGTAACGCTTTTCGCCAATTCACTTCGACTGAGAGGAAAATTATTTAGAAAACTATGAACGATACTTAAGGTCTTTGTACATGTATATATATAGCACATCAAGATGTAGGAAATTTGCCTCCTGAGTTTCATCTCGAGTATATTTAATAACGTGGAAAAAACATATGATTCGACAAATTTTTATTTGTACAATTGCATTTATGTGATTGTATCTTGTTTAATCAATTTAAAAATAACTATTAAAATATGTTTCTCTGTTCTTAAACACATTATTGATCTGTCAATTTGGCTGAATAGTTGAAACTTAATGTATATGATAAAGAGTGACTTAAATTTTCAATAATTAGTTAAATTAAATTAATAAAAATTGTACAACGCGAAATTTTCTAATCTTATGTTATTTTCCGCGTTATTATACATACTCGTGACAAAACTAGATAGGAGAATTTGCCATATCTTAGTGAAAAATAAATCATTAAACAGAGTAGCGCTGAATATTACAAAATTAACTCAATAAGTGTTTCATGATGTTTTCTATGTAATCCATACATGATCGGCATTTTATCAGTCGCAGCTAAATTTTAATAAAATAGAAATTTATATCATAACCCATTTAACCCGTTTCGGCCGAAAACGCCACTCGCAATATACCGATCTTTGGAATGTTATATTTAATTCTACAGATGTCTAAGAAAATTTAAAGGGACATATTCGGAAAGCGTGGAATAAGTTCTTTCCAAGTGATGAGTTCGAAATTATGCAAACTTATTATTATTTATGATAGATGGCACTTAAACAACAAAAATAGCACGAGTTTTCCGCTCTCTTTTTTTTAAATTCATTTTTCAAAGTCTTTCCCGTTGGAAATCGACTAGGAACCTTTTCAACCAGTGGAATAAGTAACTGAACTTTAAGAATCTATAGTTTAAAGATTATTTTTTAAAGGAGTATTTTTTCAAAATGATGTCAAAACCGCAAATTTTTTTCAAATAATTTATGAATTTTTTACTCGAAAAATATGAACTTCTGGACAAAATTCCAGGAGAAAGAAAGTGCTTAAAATCAATTAAAGAGGCCTGAATTTTTTTGACGAGTTTAGAGAAAATTTTTTATTTTTACAATTAGCAAATTTTTCCAAATCAAAAAATTACTCAAAATGCTTTCAAAAAATTTTCATATATTCTTTGACTAATTCTAAGAATATTTTATTCTTAACAATTTTCTCTTTAAACATACTGTTCTTTTTTAGTGATTTTATTTTTTTTTTTTTTACTTTTTTTGAGTTTTATTCATTATTTTTTAAGTGATCAAGTATATGATTCACGTATTAAATTGTTATATTCGTGTTCCTTGAGAATATAACTTCTGAAAACAGTGTTTACAATAATATTTGTCGCAATTGACGCAAAATCAGCTTGTCCTTTGACGACATCCTTTGTAGTTACACATAATGCTCTCTTAACAGATGCGTACGATGCGTCAATGCTACGCAAACCTTCAAGTTACCACAGGAAATGAGTTTACTGGTGGAATCAAATCAAAGCAAATTCTTTATCATCCTAAATATTATCGCTACCATCTCAAAAGATTTAAATGTATCCTCAGTGTATATATTTTATTTCGTACATTACAATTTTTTGAGTTATTTGATCTTTCGAATTAGCAATAAGTGACTGAAAAGCAATATATTTTGCTGAGAAAAATGTACGATCTCGAACAGGCAAAGTACTGTCAAATATTTCCTTAATTGAATTCAGATTTGCAAAGTTTTCATTAACTGCAATTGCGATTATTATGTAGTTGAAAAATGGGAAAACTTAAAAATAGCTAAATAATATAAATAATTATTCATAAAAATGTAAATAGCTTTATTTCTTAAAGAATTTTTTGTTTTATCAATATGCACGTTGTTTTATCATATCGTTAGATACATGCTCATTTTCAGTCAGCGCACAAGCGGATTCAGCTTTTAAACTAATCATATAAATGAATTATGCAATTTCATTCATTCGTTCTATCTAATTTTTGTAATTTAGAAAAGAATTAATTGTGATCTATTTGCAAACACTACAATGGCTTGCTAAATTCATATTCATTAATTTTGATTGACAGAATGATATTCCAAGTTAACGTTGTTTCAAGTTTTATTCTATTTCGGCAGAATACAGTTTGTGCCTAAAAACCGGAGTTACAGACTGATATAATGGGCAGTAGAGTCGCGATTTGTGAGCAGCATAGTCGAACTTTCATACAGGTTTCTGCGGATGAATAAACCTCTGTGTATATATATATATATATATATATATATATATATATATATAGTAACGGTCAAGTCTGATCTATTCTTTTGTTTTGCTTTTCACTGCGCAATGGTAACCCGCCATACATCCGAAACTAAAGAAAAGCGCTATCAAAACTAAGGCGCCACCTCACATACGCGCTTAAATGTATAAGGTACTTGATCAAAATTAGAACCATATAAGGAGTGTGACGTCTCAGACGTGCGAAATTTATTGTTTACTATGCAAAATCGACAAATGCAAGCTTTTAAAATGAACAAAAGAACTTTTTTCGTCAACTTCAATGCGCTGATCTCGAATTTAAACTTATTATGAGTATTTATTTGGTAATATTTATAGCGTAATTTAATTTACAAATAAATATAATGAACAATTTTGCCATAAGCAAATGCAATACGAATTTAAATGTAATACAGCGAAACCAGCACCTTAAGAAAAAGAAGCAAGAATTTGACACCTTTATAACTGATTTTTTAACAGTTATCAATAAATAAAAAATTGATAATTTAATTAAATATTTAAAATTACGTTGCGAGATAGCGATTCAATTTTACATACTCGTAAAATAAGTGAAAACGATTGTTATCTGATCGTGGATTTTATAATAGCAAAAGAAATAATTTGGGAATTCGTTATTTAATTATTGTTCAAATTCTGGTTGTTAAATTAATAATTTTGATTTTGGATAATTTTCCGTGTATCATAAATAATTTTTTGATGTAAAAAATTCCAATAATTTTATTGTAAATTTTAAGCTATTCATTTAATTAACTTTAGTCGTTTATAACTTTGTGAGGCGATTCATCCAGAAGAAACAATTTAAATCATAAAATTCAACGTTTTCAACTCAATTTTTTAGATCACAAACTTTTCACTTTGCTTGCGCGATTTCGCGATAATTTTCCATTAAATTAAAAATAATATATTACGCATATATTTTTTTTTGCGCGTTTTAAATAAACAAACTGAATATGTGAAAACGAAATTAAGTGACAACGATGACGTGGGAAAAATTACAATGACGTCAGCTGCAAGCCATCGCTTATTATTGTTGATATGAGACGCCGATCTGAGCGGATCGGTTTGCTCGTTTTTACCACCATCTGCTACTCGGCGATCCATTGTTCTTCCTGATTGCTCCAAAATAGATAGGTATAGCATTCATACCTTATGCTCGTGTTCGTCTTTTCGACCGTTCGATTCAATCGATTAGCGCCTTATCACTCAAACGCGCTTCTCCTAGCTGAGTCCTAGCTCGGTTATTTTAATTCAGTCGAATACAGTGAATGGCGTGTCAACAACTTTCTATCGTGACAGCTTGCCTTCTGTATGGGATTATCATGCTAAAATCAATTGAAAGTCACGGCTGTTCGCTCAACAGTGAGGGACTACGCACGAATAGCGATTAGAGAAGAGACAAACAAGATCTTTTTCATCAATAGTCATCGTCATCTGCAGTAAGCAGTTTCTCAAGAGCGCCACCGTGGTTTGTTCTGAACTTGCGCGTGAGACAACATACGAATTTTTATAGAAAAAAACTCTTCGTGTCGGGCTGCTTTTAATTATCTACTACCAATTTCTTTTTCAGTATTATACAGTTACCAAGTCCTGTAAGTACATCAACAACACCACACTTCTTGCCCGTTTTTTATTTGACACGTTACACGTATTTACACATACCAGGCTAGCATATTCGAATTTTCACACCTCCAATTGAGGTTAGAATCGATATTTTGACAGTTAGTCACTCGATATAAGTACTTATGTACCTATAAGTAGACAAATATCGTGGGTATTTGAAAATAATGTTTAAAGCATGTGAGTCTTTTTCACAAGTACTATCTATTTGCAGTATTTTTTACAGGAATTATACACTGTATGAACAAGCAACCATTCTCCTACGAGACTCCCCTCATTTTTCTATAACTTCTCAGCTTTGTAGGCTTATCTCTCGTGGCCTTGACTAAAAATCGTGTTGTCATCGACCACTCGATTTTTCCAACGATTCAAGCTTGCCGATACATAACCAATTAACCAAATCAATTAGCAGGAGAATAACATCACGCGCATTTTTTCCGAATTCTATGCTCTATTTCTAGATTTTATCAAACATTTTGTGTATGCTAGTTCAATTGTTCATCTTATTTTATTTTTTTCAAGTTGAAACATTTGTTAAAGTTGTCTTCTCAACAACTACAGTAGCATTAGACAACAAATACATGTCTACTGAATGATTTTTAGCAGAGGTATTTTGTAGACTAGTTTAATGGATGCAGAAGATGAGTATTTGCTTGGGCAAAGTTGCAATAGTTCATTTCCTGAATATGCCACCAGTTCATCATGCGATCCAGGAGAAGAAAGAGATAATGATGTTAACACAGAGAAATGTGGAGACCTCGAGGATATGTCATTTTATATGTCTACATATATCAGGCGTGTTATGAAAATGATGCATATTATGCGCAGTCACCATATGCTGACTGATGTTGTGTTGGAAGTTGGTTCAGAATTATTTCATGCTCACAAAGTCATCCTTGCTGCTGCCAGTCCTTATTTCAAAGTAAATATCATCTAATGAATCTAATTAAACTTGACAAAAATGAATTCCATTTTCTTAAAATTTTTATTCATTTCATTGATTAAAATTGTGAATTGTGAAAAAGAAGCTTGTAATTAGATATGTTGAATTTTTATAGGCCATGTTTACTGGAGGACTAAAAGAGTGTGAGATGACAAGAGTTAAACTACAAGGTGTATGTCCTACAGCAATGGCTAAACTGGTCAATTTTATGTATACTGGCAATGTACGTATTACAGAAGTAACTGTCTGCTCTCTATTACCTGCTGCAACAATGTTTCAGGTAATGTATCTCAATAGTGGATTTGTAAAAGTAGTAATTTTTTAATTTTAATGTACTATTATTTTATCTTAACTGGCAATGCAATTGATTATTTATCTGATGCCAAGGTATCCAGTGTTGTTAATGCTTGCTGTACATTTCTTGAAAAGCAACTGGACCCCACAAATGCTATTGGCATTGCGAATTTCGCAGAACAACATGGCTGCTCACTTCTTCAAAGCAAGGCAAATCAATTTATAGTTCAACACTTTAGTCAGATTTGTCAAGAAGAAGAATTTCTCCAATTGTCTGCATTACAATTAGGTATTCATTAAAATGTTGTTGAAAATAATTAACTTATACTAATTGTTAATTAATAACTAAGTGATAATCTTTGTTTTTTCCATAGTATCCCTTGTTCGCAAAGATGAGTTAAATGTACAAGAGGAACGGGAGGTGTATAATGCTGTTCTCAAGTGGGTAAAGTACAATGAAGAAGCTCGTGGACCAAAAATGGAACATATTTTACATGCTGTTCGATGTCAGTACTTGACACCTAGTTTTTTGCGTGAGCAAATGAAACATTGCGAAGTTATGAAGAAACTTCCTGCTTGCAGAGAATATTTGGCACAGATTTTCAAAGAACTAACATTGCATAAGAAACCCATTGTTAAGGAAAGAACGCCAAACACGCCAAGAGTTATTTATATCGTAGGTGGCTTTTTTCAGCATTCATTGGATTTATTAGAAGGATACAACGTTGACGATAAAAGCTGGACGACCCATGCCAAACTATTAGTTCCCAGGTCGGGCTTAGGAGGAGTATTTCTTAAGGGCTATTTTTATGCTATTGGAGGCAGGAATAATACTCCAGGCCATAAGTAAGTCAATGCAAACAAGCTATTTTTCCTTCATCATTGTCTAATAGCGTTTATCGCGTTACTTTTATGAGTATTAGTTTTTTTCTGTTTATTGAAACTTCAATTATAGTAGCACCAATCGTGCGACCAACAGATATGACAGTGATTGGGTTGATCGTTATAATCCTGCGACCGATCAATGGAGACCCTGCAGCCCATTAACCGTTCCGAGAAATCGCGTTGGCGTTGCTGTTATGGATGGTTTATTGTATGCAGTAGGAGGAAGTTCCAATACCGAAACTCATCATACTGTTGAGTGCTATGATCCTGAAAATGACACGTGGACAAATATAAAGCCTATGTGCACTAAAAGATTAGGAGTTGGAGTGGCTGTAGTAAATAGGTAGAATAATAAGTGTTATTATTATTTTAACTGACGGATTGATTTCTTAAAATAACGCCCATCAATTGGGTTATAGGCTTTTGTATGCTATAGGAGGGTATGACGGAACTGAGCGTTTGAATTCGGTTGAATGTTATCATCCTGAGAATGATGAATGGAACAAAGTTGCCCCCATGAATACCCGACGCTCTGGCTCTGGTGTTGCTAGTATCGGGCAATATATCTACGTTGTTGGCGGCTACGATGGCAATAGTCAACTTTGTTCAGTTGAAAGATATGATACCGAAAAAAACACTTGGGAATATGCAAGTCCGTTGAGAATTGCCCGCAGTGCTTTAAGTTTGACTGCCTTAGATGGCAAACTTTATGCAATGGGTAGTTTTTTTATTTGACCGGAATATTTTTAATACAATATTTTAGAATATTTTAATACAATAGAAATACTTTTAAAATTGAGAGATATATTTATTATTATTATTGCAGGCGGATTTGATGGAACATCGTTCGTTAACATCGTCGAGATTTACGATCCATCAAAGGACAGATGGGATGAAGGCAAACCAATGACTTCTGGTAGATCAGGACATGCCAGTGCCGTCTCTTATCAACATTGTTCAATTCATTGTGATCACTTAGATGATAACATTAATATACAGAAAGCACCATCGTGACATTAGCTAATCATTACTCTGAATATCTAAAATGTTCAGTTATGTTTCTAAAATCTCTAAACTCGATATTATATTTTTTAAAGCCGGATAATCTATCCATTGTATTTTACAGCATACATTTGCATTGCGTAGTATTAAAAATAATGAGCTATAACCTATTTTCAATATATTAGGTTATACCTCATTGTTTTTAATTTCTACCAAAGTTGTATTTTATAATTTGAAAATAACTAATACTTTCATTATACAATTTGTCTAGTAATATATGTTATGACAAAATTATTCTCAAGACTCAATATAATTGAATAAAAACATATATAATATAATAAAACACATTAAAACAATCGAAAGCGATTTATTATATTAAAAAAATGTATTAAAGAGCATTTTAGAAAGTTATATATTTATTAGAAGATTCTACTTACAAAGTTAATGTTAATTAAGTTACTGTAAATTTTATAGACTATGTTATTCTTATTCGTATATAATTATTGTTAATCGATACAGTTGATTGTTAATCAGCAAATATACAATATAAATTATGCGCACCGGTGCTATTTAATCAAAATATTTCTACATATATTTTATATGAAAAAAATCGAGTATGTAATAGTGATAAGTAATTAAAAAATGTAGCTGATGCGTTAACGACATAATTAAAAATTATAAGTCGGCGCGGGATTTAGGAGAATGATTAAAAATATATTTTATTTATTTTTCTAGAAATAGCATATTTTGCAAAATAGCACAAAGTAGGCTTTTTTCAAACAAATGAAAAAATTACAGTAGCAGTAAAGTGTATGTTTTTGGATACGATTTTTTTTGGCATACACGCACGTACACATCCACACGCATACACACGTACAAACAATTTTACGGAATTATTTATTTTTCGATGCGTCAATAACGAAGGATCATATAGTCTAAACGGTTGGTATGTTGATAAGTTAGTCTAATAGCATATACAATTAATTAGCTTTTATAGATGAAAACAAAAGGAATAAAAGTGTTAATAATTAAAGTGATTTTGGATTATCAATAAATGAACAACTTGTTTCATACTAAATTATAATGTACTGTGAATAATATTTCTACATAGTATATAAAGTAATGCGTTTGCTCATTCAGCCTCTTGCTTTACATCAACTTAGTAAGAGCGTACACTCAGAGATACCAGTCTTATATAATCAGCACATGCTCGTAAATAAACTCAATACGTCATAGCTCATATACACGTGAAATGTACGTATGTAGGTGTGTGTGTGTGTGTGTGTGTGTGTAGCATGTAAAATTACTCATATTTCAACAAAAAGATACATTATAAAGTTTATTTAAAGATAAAATCAAAATAAGTTTTACAACTAGTTCGTACTTGTTCGCACAATAGTAAATAAGTAAATATAAAAGTGTATTGTATTTTTGTAAAAGATTTTAACAAATCTGTAATATTCATGTAATAGAAATAAATAGCGATACATATTTTCTATTTTATTGATTGAAAACTCATCGAAATGTAGAAACGTGTTATTTCTATTATTTTTTAAATAAATAATTTTGTTAAACGATTTCTATCGTATTTCTTCGTTATTTTTTATTAACAAGGCCATGGACACGATTCGATAAAAGTTGCGTAATCGATAAAGAGGTGAAATTGATTATAAGAGATTTGCAATGCCTTGATAGTAAAAAATAATAACGAGAATCATGTTTTAATGGATGTGTATATAGGCATTTTGAATTTTCCGCCTCGTGAATCTCGTGATGCTAAAAGTGGCGCTGTCTATCTAGATATATATATGATATAAATGTCCGTCTAGATACTCTAATTTTCTTTAAATTAGGTATTGTTTGGACTTTCGCCTTTTTGAGGTTCGGACCAGATAGTTCGAGTTTAAATCAAAACAATCAGCATATTTTAACTCGTTTTGATGAAAGATTGTACAAAATTGGTCACTCTTCGATTTGTTTAAATAAAATTTGCGAGATCATGGGTGACGACGATATGAGAACTATTTGGTGTGGGGGTCTACACGAAAAAGTTACAGAGGATATACTTTATGAATTATTTATGCAGGTACATAAATTACTGTATCTCTGATTTTGTCCGATATTTTTAAATTAAATCCCTGAATCAAAGAATTGTGACATCATTGTATTGACGAACTCATTCAACGTCGCATTTCATCTTTTGATCTGCATTGTTCCTTGAATTGCATAATGGTTTATATTTCTCATATTTTATTTTAGGGTGGTCCTGTGGAAAAAGTAAGTATCCCGAAAGATCGAGATGGTAAACAAAAGAATTTTGGATTTGTGACGTTCAAGCACTTATCTTCGGTGCCATATGTATTAGATCTATTTGATGGAACTTCTTTGTTTAGTCGGACGTTGAATATGAAATCTCGAAATAATTCTATAGAAAATTCTAATTTTAACAGACAGTCGCAGCACAGTGCAAATTTGAATTTTATGTATCAAACTAACGCAATGGAACATAAGGCATCTAAAATTCAAAGTGAGATGGAATTAAGCCAACAAATTTTGATAGGTAACATGGCACCTACAGCATTCGCACCAAACAATGTATTTATGTTACCTGGTATGATGAACTATCCCAGTCAAAATTCTCTTCAAGGTTCAAAAAATTCCTCAGATTATAATCGAGGAAACAGATATCAAAATCGCAATCATCCGTATCGTGATCGTGATTATTATGACAATCGACAACATAATCGAGACAATAAACCATATAATAAACATTCATCTCATCGATCATACCGCCATGACAACAGACGAAAGTATTACTGAAATCAAGTTTCCTTTTCTTGATTAATAAGATTTGATACACTTTAGTAAAAAGATTGATGTAATATGCGTGAAAGACTTTTTCTTAATTATATCTGTAAATTACTATTGAACTTCAAAAAAGTACATACAAATGTGTACACATATGTAGATATAAATATATATTTATATCTTATCTTTATTTTGAATAGTCTAGAAATTATTTTTTTTACACAATACATTAAAAGTATACCATAATTCATGATTCTATTTCTTGCTATATTTCAATGTGTAATATTGCTATTCTATCAATGCTTTTTACAAATTTGTGTATAAAAAATTTAATATGTAAGAAGACAGGAAGATTGTTTTATCTTCAGCAATGGAAAAATTTAAGGAATTCTTTATTCATTCCCTAATTAATTTATAATACATTTATTTTTTCGCACTAAATAGCTTATGATAAAATTTGTTTGATTTATTCAACTCCATTGCAGATTCAAATAGTTAACGTGTAATATTTAATGCATAATTTTTTTTATTCGATAGAAAAGTGAAGATAAGTTAATAGTTTACTTAGATTGTAATTTTTTGTTACAAATATTTTAAAAAAGTACGATCAACTTATCAATTAGCAGGATTGTAATATGATAATGTAACATGCATTAATGCAAATGATTTACGTTATTTCTATTAATACTGCTAGAGTTATAAATATTTTTGTGTACATACATTACGTATAATTAAACTTTTTTCCTATGCCTACATAGACTAATCATTTTGACAACATTCCTTAGAGTTGGTTGAGCTAGTTTTTTTAATTGTGACCTTTCAAGTCATTTTTACTATCATAAGCAAAAAATTTTTCATAGTGGAATGGCTTTTCAAGTAACTTGATAATTATAAATTTGAGACGACATTAAAAGCTAAAAAATTTTTTGGTATTCAAAGCAGTCATTTGATTTTACTTGTTATGAAACATGTCATACATAGAAGTTACATAAAGTTCTTTCATTATACTATTTCTCAGTGACTAGGTAAATATGTATAAACATTATGTTAAGCATACAGCAAAAATATATTTTTGACTTATATAACTTACTTTACACGTGTATAAAACTATACACACTAAATCTTTGATTACTGGTCTTATATATTATAAAATATCAATTGAATAAAGTCATCTTTTCACTTTGTTAGTACGAATAATATTTTTTTATTGCATTAAAATCCTTATATTGTATGATTATGTTAATGTATCAAAAAAATCTCTTTAATATTACAGTAACAGGTATTAAGTCTGTATTGTCTTAAATTTTTCGTTAGTATTTTCGCAGCTTTTTCGGCAAGTGCGACAACTGGCGTATTTATATTTCCGCTAGGTAACTGTTGAAAAACTGATGCATCCACAACAAACAGATTTCTAGTACCATACACTCTATAGTGAAAGAAAGTTTCTGTACTTGTTTATTCAGAAATAAAGTCATTTAAGTATTCTATTTATTACCTGAAATTAGCATCAACAACTCTTCCCATACCGCAAGTCCCAGCTGGATGATAAGTTGATAGAGTAACATGTCTAATATAACATTCCCAATATGTTGTTGTATCGAACTGGATGTTTTCACAACCAGGAAATCGTTTTTCATACATTTCAGCGCCAAGCTTTCTCATACTTTTTGTATTTATTAATTTCTTGATAAATTCAATGCCTTAAATACAATATAATATTTAGCTTTTAAAACATTCTATGAATGAGAAATCATTTATGAACTATGTGTAGTTTTAATTTTACCATATTTTATTAAACTTTTCCTAGAGGATGTATATACTTATTCACTGTTTTTCATGTAATTTTATTGATAAATTGACAAAATGACAAAACAAGCAAGTAGTGTTCTATATAATAATAGTAGGCTTTTGCAAATGTTTGAATGACTTGGAGTTACGAATTTATTTTAAATTAATATTCTTAAATTTACGAGCATTTTTTTAAATCTATCGAAACACACAACTTGAAGTTTGGCATAAATTTTGAAAATTTTATGCAATAATGGGTTAAATTTGTTCTGAAGCTCAACAAGTTGAGCTGGCTAGAAGCCACCTCCTTTGAAAATGTAATTAATGTAAGATTTTTAAACTGTTACAAAAATTACCTTGAATCAATTTATTTACATCTTCTTTATTTGATAAATAATTTGGATCGATAATTGGATCATCAAGGGGATTAGAGCTTCTGAGTTTCACTGACCCATAACTTTTTGGATGTAACAATACTGGAGCAATTGTAATTGCGGTTTTATATACAAGTGGCAAAAAATAATTGTTGAAAACCTAATAATAAAATCATTTAATAATCTTTTTAATTAATTTGTAGTAATAAGAAATATAAAAGAAAATGTACATCCTCTGGGATTCCTAAATGTTGTTTCAATAGTATTCCATTATCTTGTGACAGACCAACAGGAAAAGTCATTATTTGAAGATCTGGAGCAGAATCAACATTCTGATGATTGCTGTGAAAGGTACCAAGAACATCAACTCCAGCCGATGTCCATGGGCCTAAAAACTTGTTAGACTTTTAGATGATTAATGTAATCAAATTAATTTTTTGATGACTTGAAAATTCATTTAATTAATTTAAATGGTTTTATAGAGTTAAAAATTTTCTATGCATTAGATAGGCTTCTTTATTCTATTATACAATGATAACAAAATTAGTTTTGAATAAAATATGATCTTTCAATATTTGAGAATTAACAGATTACACAGCATTTGTAAGATATGTTGTGAAAAGAAACTCCAAACTTAAAAAATATTTGATATTAGATGAAAAATGAAAAGTCTACGTCTTATTAATTTGCTATGGATTTTAAATTGTAATAAAATTTTGCTTTTAAAACTGAAATCCTTCATACCTTGTCCATTTAAGTAATAGTCTATAGCTGAATAAGGGTTAATGATATCAATGATACTTAAAGCCTCATCGCGATTGATTGTTACAAGATCTAGTCCAGTGATTATGTGATCCATCAAGTGATTACCAACTGGTAGATCCACAACTGTCCTAATCTAATATGAAACAATATAAAACAACTTAGAATAATAATTTTATCAGAATATACGCTTGTAAGTTTACTTATAATCCGATTACAATTCAATTAGTATCAGGCTTACTTTAAGTTCCTCCAAGTGCTTCTTTGGTCCAATGCCAGAAAGCATTAACAATTTAGGAGAGCCAATTGCTCCTGCGCTTAAAATTACACCTTTCCTGGCAAATACTTTATAAATTAGATTGTTCTTAATAAACTCCAAGCCCACTGCTTTATTGGACTTGAATAAAACCTGAAATTATAAAAGGATGATGAAAACAACTGGTCTGGTATTATTTAAAACTACTTGAATTGTACCTTTTGAACTAATGTATGGGTAATTATAGTCATCCTCTTATATAAATGATAACTATGATTTATTATTCTATCTGTACTCCAGCGTTCTCCATTTTTTATAGTTAATTGTGCTCTCATGAAACCTAAATATAATATAAACATTATATAAAAAATGAATAATACATAAATTATACACAAACTTGTTTAGCCTCACCAGTTCCTGATTTTTCATTTATATTTCTCAAGGAATATGATAATTCACTTATTCCTTCTAGTATTCCATCGGCTAATTTTGAATACCAGTTTTGGCTATTGAAATGCATAATATCGCTTATGGTGTATAAATGTTCTTAAGAATGTATTTAAGATAAGTTTGTGTTAAAATTATGACAGACAAATTGAAAATGTATGTTACCTCGATAATCTGAAAACCAAGAGCTATAATCCTTGTCATGTCCTTGTACATGTACCATAAAATTGAGTCTACTAGAACCACCTACAATTTTTCCAGCTGACCAAGAGCTCTGATTATTTTTCAAACCTTTGCATGCATGCCTCTGTGGAACAGTTTTATATTTCCAATCATATTCTGTATTCAACAACAATGGTGTTAATACTGGAATGTTAAATAAGTAGCCAGGATTGCCACCTGCTTCAATTAATATTACTTTATATCCAGAATTTAATAACCGAGTAGCCAAAATTGATCCTGCACTTCCTGAGCCAACTTAAAATTAGAGATTTATTAATGGATAAACTAGTATTGTATATTTATTTATCATAATTGAAAAAAAACATACCAATAACATAGTCATAGACTGAATTATTTTTCATATTAAAAAATAGTCGATCTTTATACCAATCGTAAATGTACGATACATCAACATAAAATATAAAGCAATGGATAGCTACATAGTAAATCAGAAAAGACATCCATTTCAACGTAGCTGCATACATTGTTCCAGATATATTAATATTACACCAGAAATATTTCATGTAAATAAGTAATTATTTGATTTTGATTTTGCTATCCGACTGGGTAAAGTTATAACGTAGGTTCTTCATGAGACATTCATTCGAAAATTCTAATACTTCTAGATTTTTCAAGTAATTTTTTCTATCTAAATATGTATATTTCATTTAAAAAAAAATAAAACGATAATAACGAAAAAACATTTTAAAATTGAGAACAATTAGATTGGTAGCAAAGTTAGCAAAACTGATTACACTCGTGCTCAATCATTGTTAAAAAACTTAATAAAGTTCACCACGCCGTTTTTTGATGCACGTACAGTTCCTATTAGTTTCTTAAACGATTAACTAGTACCAATCTTTTGCAAAACTCACGCGCAATTTTTTTTTCAAGAAATTGTACATTTTGTTACGGGATTCATTAACAATATACTTTTTTTTATCGCTATTGCCCATATGCAGATGTGGTGGGGGGACCACGAGAGCTTATAGCTGTTTCCTATAATATAGGGACTTTCTCGAAGCCGGTAAATTGTCTACAGCACTAATAAAATATATATTGTCTATAAACATTGGCACGCTGCACATTCTGCGCGTATTGGGATTGGCTTACCCTTTACCTGTTGCTTAGTACAGATCTAGTGTACTAAGCAACCGGTAAAGGATGTTAACTAGATAGATAGATAGTGATTTTATTGGCTCAACAAAGTTACATTGCCATGTTACATAGATGTTAACTAGATCTTAGTGTAGAGACTCACCGCCACCTAGTAACAAGCGAAGTAAAATAAAGTTGTTTATAAACAGTCAATTTGAATTCAACTGTGCAAATTTTAGTATTCATTTGGATTCATACTTTGTTTCAGCTTTTTTTATTTTCGTTAATTCTCGGTTAGATTCCCGTGTATGAATACTATTATTATATCGACTTCATGGTAACGATAAAGATTATATCTTTACTATAACTTAACTATATATAACCTGTCAATATTATCGACAGATGATCATATAGAGATATTAATTGATATATATATGTATATAGATATATATATGTTCCGCGGCAATATTGAAGGTGTGGATATATAGTGCGTATATTGCATGAGTCATCATGATGTATCATGATTTACGAAAGAACTGTTTGTTTAATATTCTTCTATAGGTTTGAATGTTGCATGAAAGATGAACGACGACAATTAAGATATATAACTGCATAACAATAGGTTAATTTATTAAGAAGATGCGAAACCCCATATAATAAGCCCATATAAAATACATACCGATATTTTCAACTATTTTGCTGTTATCATTTATTTTTAAACATCGCGTTATACAGACCTCTTTAAGTAATTTCAAAAGATGGCTAGACACGATATTTATAAAAGTTTAATAAATAAAAATAACGAGATCTGTGAGATAGATTCATGTAAGATGCTCTTAAAAGTTATACAAAACTTTAGAAAAAGCAACTGGATACGGTTGTATAAATGACAATCAATATAATAAATCAACGGGGATCTCACAATTCGTATATGTACATTTATACGATTGAGAAGTAATAGAAACGAAAAATCAGCTATCTAGAGCTTAAATTTTTTGTGAAAAAGTGTTTATACAAAAATTTTTTGGCAATGATTTAAATTGTATTCTAATATAGATATGAAAATAGATTTTTAAGTGTTAATAAATTTTTCAACTTAGTTCTAGAGAACACTGTCAAAGAATAACAATGAAAATTTGCCATATCCATGGTAAAAACTACTAAGAATTTATTTAATATTATAAAAATCCAACATTTTATATTTAAAAGTTACATATTTATATTAATTAACTAGCTACTTTACTATTATGAATAATTGCGCAGTTACAGTTAAGCGATGTTAAAATAGTAATAGATATTAAAAACGATCGAACAACGATATTATTTATGATAGTGATTGTATTCGAATATATAGTTAATATTCAGCTATTATCCTTTAAGTAAATAACGTAGAATGATTTCTGTGAATATTAGATTATTGATCACAGGAAACATTTGAATAACATTATTTATTTATTAAAACCGTCATGTATGCTTTATTTTTTTAGATTACTGTCGTTAAAACAACAAAACTATTTTCTGAGTGATATTTTTATAATTATTCTTTACGTTACTTCTTCATATTTTAGAACGAAAATCCTTCAATGGCAGGCGGTTTATCAATCATCATTTTCTGCGATATAGAAATGACATAATAAACAATAAAAGTAAAAAAATTTACGAGAACTACTCCTAATTTCAATCAGCCAACATAAAAATGTGGCTAAAGCTAACTCTAGTTGAATGATGCCGGTCTTAACGATTTGAAGCGGCTTCATCTTTAGGCTTTTTGGCTAATGCTAGCAGTAGCCGATTCCGGTCTTTCGTTGTAACACACACATGCGCGCGCACGCGCACGCGCACGCGCACACAAGCAAACACGGCAACGGCTCACCACGATCGACCTTCAAGGAGCTAAGGCGCAGGAGATGGCGTCGCCCACGTAGCTAACGTATCTCGCTTGGAAACCGGAATACGGCATGTGAAATATTTGTCACGGAATATCATATACGATGTTCTGTATGCAGAGCAGATTGTTGCACAGTTGTAGCAGCTAACCAGCAGTAATGTTGTAGCCAGTTGATCAATAGCATGTCTGCTGACAATTTGGTCGATTGGCCGGAGAAAGTCTGATCATTTTCGAAGCTATGCTTTTTTCGTTGCTGTTTACCCTTCGCCCGGCTGATTTTTCGTTTCTGCCACCCAACAGTTGAAAGCCAAGTGCCATTATACTCGATGGGCGACGTGCTGTCTGCGGCTTCTGCCAAGACTTCATTTTCTCTCAGAGCGCCTCCCCCCTCCCCCTTCACTCGTGACTCTCGCCGAAAGAATGCGCGTAGGTTGTATACTTATCACTCGTGATGCCATCGCATATCAGGTAGAATATGGAATGGACTTGCGGAAAAGAGGCAAATACGTGCTGCTTGACGTAAACAAGTACACGGCTATATAGCCAATCTTTTATGTATTTCAATCGAGTCTACTTTACTCGCTTCGTGTCGTTAATACGTATTTACGTAAATTCATTCTATCCGCTCCGATATCGAACAAGTATGTAAACTGGTTTTTCATCGTGTGTTCACACGTGATGTACACACATACGCGCGCGCGCTTTTTTACTTGCAAAATATTTTACAGAATTCATTTCCTCACTGCACATCATCACTAGCTAGAAATTGCTCTTCATTAAATGTTCATTATTCAAGAATTTTGTCGTCTCCAAAGTCCACAACGTCCACATTAAAGTACCAGAGTCATTTAACTCGAATTTAAAAATGCTCTATTGGCTTCACTCCATCTTATTTGCTGCTAAAGACTTCATTTTAAAAGCTTTAAAAAGTTGATTATCTGCTATTTTGAGCATTTTATTTTTCGCGATCATGTAATTCGTCGTTACGCTTCTTTTGCCGCGCTCTATATCTATTTTCTTGGCGTGTTAACTGAAAGCAAGCCAACAAGAAAATCGTAAACTGACAGACAATATTTCTATTAGTTAATGTTCGACTGAAGATATATAGCGACATAATGTGTACTTTGCTAATTTTGATCTGAAGCGATTGGTAATAGCTCGCCTGGAGGTACAAGTGTGGTCTGTGTCTTTTAAAGCCACACTTTGAAATTTGAATAAAAGAGAACATGCAAAACGAAGTAAATATTGAGGAGTGATCGTGCGGAAGAGAAATTTGAATTGAGCTATTTATAAGCCACTTTGTCAGATTTTGGTGGGAACAGCGCTTGGGGCGGTCTACTTAAGAATTCATTCGAGCGGACGCTCAACTAAATCGAGTGTACGGTTTCGTTATATTTTTACCGACTTTCGAAATATAAGAAGCTCTCAAGTGGACCTGATTCTTTTAAAGACATGTGTGCGTGCATAACTTGGTCCATCTCGTTTGATTAGGTTTGGTCTTATTCGATTATTATTACACGTAGCCAACATCCAAGCCGATACCACCCTATATTTTATCCGGTATTAGTGCAAAACTGCTGTAATGACAGCAAACATTGGACGTATACGAAGACGTTCTTTTGTTAGAATTTCACTCTTGTAAAGTTGATATGATTTAGGAATGTGAATTGTGACGTTGTAAGTTGATCGATCGGTAGAAAAGCCCTTAAAAATTGAAGGCGGAACGTAGACTACTATGGCCTGCACTAGTAGGTACGTGTGGGATAATGCGGAATAGAGGAAAAATATGGAAAGTACAAAAGTAATGCTCGCGTGATGCGTGAGCCAGAAACAGTAAATATAATAATGCCCCTGACGCTGTGCAGTGCCGAGTCGCAACGCCGCAGTATGAATCCGACACCACCTACTGGGTTCTCGATCGAAGAAGGAAAAAAAAACCGCGCAGTTTTCTCTGTGCGAGTCTTACGGCCATTGAAATTTGCATCGCATAACGAATTAACCATCCTTCAGAGCGTGCGTCGCTTTGTGGCGGGCAAGTCGGCTGCTAATTTTACAGGAATTCGCTCGTAAAAGTACAGTGTTTGCGAAAAAAGGCAGAGTGGTGGATTAAAAGAGAATGAAGTTATATGCTCGTAAAAAGTGAAAAGGAGCCGGCCGGCCGCATAGCAGCCGAGTGTTAGAGGGACGGCATGAGCAGGCCGGCCCTCCCGAGCATTCTCGACTCCTCTCCGAATGGCTTATTAATAAAGACCACACATTCGTTCGAAATGGGCCGCATGCTCTCACGCAAAATCCTCGAAAATGAGCGATAAATTTGCGAGCGGCTTGCTTCCTTTGGTTTCGCCGTGATTAGCCCCAATTGTCTGTGACGCGTGCGCGCGCGAACACACGCACGCATCGTCCGTTCCCGGAGAGCGGAATTGTGCGAGCTATAACGAGCCGAGCACCGCGTGCGGGACTATCGCGAGCAAGCAGCTGTACGCACGGATGAGCTTTCCAGCGAGGATTGGGCAGACAGCGTGGCGCACGGCGAAGCTGCGGCCCCGCCGCGCCGTGTCCGCTCCTACTCTACCGTAGCCTCGTCGAGCGTCGATCCAGTCGATGCCGCGCACCTACCTATCGCATTGCGGACAGCTTTCTCTTCTCGAGCTTTCCGGTAACTCGGCCCAGTCGCAACGTGCAAGCTTCGATGACCACCGGCAGTACCGACTAGATCGATATGCATCCGAGCGCCGCCGCCGCCTCCGCCGCCTCCGCCGCCGTAGGCAGTGAGTCATTGGTTTGTTATTCGGCGGGAAACCTGTGCCGAAGATAGTTTTCACTTTTTCAAGCGGAAATAGAACGGCCGTCAAGGGGAAAATCAGCCGAGAGATAAGGATTCGGAGAAGATCAACGGCGGCACCAAAGTCCTTTTCACGGTTCTCCGAATGCCGCGTTCGAGACAAGATTCTCGAGAGTTTCACTGGGAGCGCAAGTATGTTTGGAGGCTGCAGCAAGTCAGCGAAGCCTCTTGCAGTATCAACTAGAAGCTGAGTTCGCGGAATCGCGAGCAAATCGATTTGGCTTTGCGAAGGCTATGGCTGGCGGAGCTTTGTTCCTAACAAGCGGCCCGTCAACGATGATCAATCTCTCAATTTGGCGAGTCGCGTCTTTATTTCTCACGGAGGTGAGCCTACGCCGGAGGAGGAGAGGTCGAGTGGAGTGGGCTGCTGCTGCCCGCGGCTTTTCACTGCCTGTCGGCGCTACAGAGGCGCTGAGCGTGTTCTCTCTTTCTCTCTCTCTCTCTCTCTCTCTCTCTCTTTGTCTTTCTCTCTGTGTATCTTCCACGAAGGTGGTCTTTCACTTGGCCACACACACAAAATGATAGTTGGCCAGTCTCCGATTTGCTGCGAGCGCTGGCTCAACGAGTGCCCAAGCGCCGCTGCCCTAAACCTCCTCGATGTGCCCGTAAAAGAGCAACCGCCAGCGATCTCCCTGGTCCATTACCGAGCCATCATCGTTCAACGAGCCGCCACCAAACTCGCTTTCTCTTCTCTTATCTTGCTGTTCCGATGCCGATCCAACACTCGTCAGTTATTCTCGTTCAGAGCTGTAGCATCCCAACTCTCCAGCAATAGCGTTCAACTTGACACTACTTTTCCGTTCTCACTTCGCTCTCCAGCAATCGATCAAACGATCCAAAGCCGTATCTCCGTTGAATCGTCATTTTGAGCATTCTGCTTTGAAAGCACACTTTGCGCACCCTTTCGAATCCTTCCATCCACACGCAAATCAGTTCTAATGCGCTGATGTTCTTCCTCTTTGTTTCAAATATAGCGGAGAGTTGTCAAAGAACGCACAAATTAAAGGTATTTCTGGCGTGACCATAGCTTTATTGCTACATAAATCTATTGAATCATAAAGAAAGCAACATAAAAATTGCTCTTTCGTCATTGCGAGTCCAAAGCCCCTTACTCCGATGCTCTCAGAAGTATGAAAATAGCAATTATAATAGTATAGAGAGGTTGATTTGACTACAACAGGTAGCTATAACAAATATACATAAATCTACGAATGACTTGGTAGCTGCTCAATTGCAACGAGCGGCTACTTCGATATTTTTACGTGAAAATTTGTCGATTAAAATGAAGGAAATTAAAAATTATCAGCACTTGTCACCGCCTGATTATCTCAACACGATTTTTATAGAAAAGCGATAGAAAAAATATCGAAATGCATTGGAGTAAATGAATAACTGGTCAGAAGTTGACGTGGCACGAAGAAAAGCTATGTTACCTAAAGACATTTGAAAGATGAAACCTGGATTGGACGGTTATGGAAATATGTAGCTTTTGTTGAAAAGCCAGCAAGACTTGACTTCCTTTATACGCGGAATCCTTACTCGGTGCGTTGCTTTCGTTCTCCTTATTTCTGGAGTAACGCTTAAGCAAAACGAGCCAAGGGGATTTTTTGAGCTCGTGTGCAAATCTAAATTTGTCCAAAGCAGTCCATATAAGAGTCATAACTGCGCAGCCCCCAAATAAGTTGAGCATTTTCGCTGGTGCTGAGAGTAAAAGGACGGACCGATTTGGCGAGGGAATTGCTATTATAAACAGATAAATCAATCAGACGGAGCAGGTACACGGACGGACGAGTGTAACGAGGGAAAGTGCCGAGTCGGTGCAATAGATAAAATGCCTTTGGAGAGAGACGGAGAAGCGTCAGACATAGCCAATCGCTTGGAACAAAGTGAATCGGGCTTGAATGAACGGGTCGCAATGAACGGGTGGTCCAGAACGAGAGCCGGCGAGGTTGCTCGGTGAGATGCAGCAACGAGTGCGCACTGGCCACTGCCTCTAATGTCTAATCGTACGGGACAAAGAAAGGGAAAGGCCGTCGAGCAGAGAGAGGGAGAGAGAGAGAGAGAGAGAGAGAGAGAGAGAGAGAGAGAGGGGAGGAGACGGAGCGGATCACCCGCTGGGGTTGTAGATGAGATAAGCGCGCCCGCTGCTACATCTGCTATATCTGCGCGCTGCTCGTTGAGAACAGGTACGGGGTCGCGCGAGGAGGGGGCAGAAAAGTTCGCAGGAAGCAGCAAAGCAGCGCGCAGCAAAAAGCGAGCAGTTTTTTCTTCGAGCCGCGGAGCAGGCTAAACGAATTACGCGTACGCGAGGGTACTGCTGCTGTCTGTGCAGCCTCCTCGTTCCGCTCCCCTCGCTCTCTCTCTCGCCAATTCATCGCGCTTCTTCTTAATTAATCGCCTGCGCCGGGATGCGCGGGGATGCTCCTGTTGCTTGGCAGCTTTCGGCCTCGCTGCTGCGCCACTCGCTCTCGTCACTTTCCTTTTCCCTTGGTCTTTTCGCAAATAAACACTGGACAAACCTGCCGTGCCGACCTTTCGTTCTAGCGGCCATTCTTATTGACGCACTCGCGCTCGGCTCGGTCAGCTGATCTTCTCGAGACATCTGGCAAAAGGTCTCGCGCGAATCAAGATTTCTCCCACGAGCGAACGTACCATCCGATTCCTCCAGTAGCAGCGATGCCTTTCGAATGTTTGCAGCACGGAGGCTCGTTGTTCGTCTAATTGCAGAATCCGTAGACGTGAAAATGGCTGCCGTAAACGCGTGCAACGACAACGACTGCAAGGATTTTGGTATATACACACATACAAACGGTTGGAAATTGTGCCGAGTGTGCTCCTTTGGAGGCATCGACGGCGACGCCGGAATGGCATGTGCCAAGGCGACGTGCTCACACCGACGATCGAGTATTTTTCAAATGCTCGCAGGCGTTAGAGCTGGAGCGCGAGGAGAGGTTGCATTTGCATTGCAGAAAAGTGCACTGGTCGCGCGAGCGGCAGAAACGAATCGAGGCAGGCGTACGCGCGGGCCGCGCGCGGGCTTTGCTCGGATTCCAGCCTAATTTCCAGAAGCGTGCCGCGCGCGAGCCAAAACGGCAAAAAACTTTGGCCAGTTCGTGCAAATTAACTAAGTGGCGCAAGAAACTATCAATTGACATTTTTCCTGAAATTCCGGAGCTCTCGTCTGGAACAATCCATCGCCGCAGCCCGCTGGGCGGTGCAACTCCTTATACGTGTTTTCCTGCCACTTACCTGACCTGACCGTTAGTTTCGCCACTCCGCGCCACACCGAGCCACATATTCCGACCGACCAGTCATATTCTTCACCGTCAACTTACGATTTATCAGTGCAGAATGTACGCAATCGAAGCAAGGCTACTTCGCTCTGGATGTATTCATCCGCGCTCGCTCCGGACAGCTTGCGCCAAGGCAGATACGTAGGCGAATTTCCATCCGGCAAATTACAAGACGCAGGCACGCACACACCTGTGCATGCATAATAGTAGGCAATGTGAAACCTGCGAGAGTATATGGATTTCCTCTCTTATCCGACCCGGGACTACGTATTGGAATGGAGCGTGCACGTACGTGTGCGTGAGAAAGAGAGAGAGAGAGAGAGAGAGAGAGAGAGAGGAGAACGGCCTCGACTCGAGTGGAGTCTGCGGTCTGGCCAAGCGAGCAGTCGCGGTAGCTGCCAGTCAGTAATCGGCCGCGACCGCAGTCGTTCATCCGACAGTGTCGAGTGAAAAGGAGAAAGAGAAGAGAGACGGAGAGAGAGAGAGAGAGAGAGAGAGAGGGGAGAGAGCCAAGTAGAGTGGAACGTGCGCCGATTTGCGTCGCGAGGATTGCAGATCGCCTACGATCCACAGTTGACTTTGGTCGAGTGCTACAAAGGAGAGCAAGGCATAAGCGCGCGGACACGAATGGAGAGCGACTGGTTCTCGGCTACAGGCTTTCCTCCGGGCTCGAGCGCAAGCAACGGTACGATGTAACGCCGATTTCTCGCTCTCACACGCACGCACACACGTATGCACGCACACAGAGGCAGGCGTTGTACAACCCATTACCAGGCACCTGCGATCGAACTGGCCGCCAGTAGCACGGCTGCGCCAGCACAAGCTCGCTACTATGCGCCGCCACGGCAGTCCAACGAGCCCCGCTGCCGCTGCTGCTAGTGCTGCTAGTATTGCTAGTGCCGTAGCCGTCTCGCCGTCGGCGCTGCTACCGTCGCCGTTCAGTGATTGTTTACATACTCTGGGACACGAGTGAGCACAGCCGCAGACCGCCGAGCGAGCGGTGCGTGCCAGTCGCAGCCAGTGTCGGGGCCGAGAGAGCGCCGCACCGTCTGCCCCGGGGGGGGCGAGGGGCCAGCTGCCAGGGCTGCGCGCGCAAAGAGATGCCGTGGCTCGCACTCAGGGCCGCCTTCTCGCAGATCGTCCGCGGCTAGCCAAGGTAAGCCTCGCGCGACCGGGACGCGGAGAGAGAGCTGCATTACCGAGTGCCGCCGCGCCGCTCGCCCCGAAGGCTTCCACTTCGTGAAAGTGCGCGGCCGCCGGGACTACCTGCTCGCCTACCTACTCGCTACCGCAGTGCTGGCCCGCGCTCTTTCCTCTCGCCGCGGTCCCGAGGCGCCAGTCGGGAGCGGCGACGCGGGCCTTCTGGAATTTTCCACGCGGACTCGCAGACGCGGCGGCGCGACTGGCTGGCAGAAAGGACCAGAAGCCAGAGCCGCTGCAGAGTCGCCGAGAGCGATCCTATTTTCGACGATGACGCTTCCGCCGCTAAACGTTCTTTCCATCCTCTCGGCTCTCTTTCTCCCGTCGCTCTCCGCCGGGGCGCGCGCGCGCGCGCGCACGTACACACTTGGCTGCCGCGGCTGCAAGTGCGCAATAGCGCTGCCAAGCGGTACGCGCAGTACGCGCGGTCGCGTACGCGGCAGTGACGGCGGCCAGCGACGTCGGCGACGCCGGCGACGCCGCCGACGCCGCCGCGTCGTCTCGCACGATTGGCGTGTGGGCGGGCGCACGCGGGCCCCAGGGGTGGGGGGCAGCTCGCCGCTCCGAGGGGAGGAGAGAGCGACGGAGAAAGAAAATGGTAACAGGCGCCGGCGGCTCGCTCCGCCGGTGCTCCCTCGGCCGCCAGCGCAGTTGTAGTCGCGTGGCCGAGCCCTCCGCTGCCGGCGACCGCACCCAGCGCTCTCGGGGCCCTCGGACGATGCTCCGGACCCGCCGCTGCGACCCACTGCCGCTCGTCCGCGGCCCGGCCCCGGCCGCTGCGATCGCCCGAGTAGGCGCCGCCCGCGAGGAGAGTCGCAGCTGCTGACGTAGCGCGCGCGCGCGCTTGCCTTGTTGCAGACAGGTGGTGGTCAGAGGCGCCGAGCAACGAGGAGGGACGCCAGCGGAAGGCGCCGCGCAGAGACGAGGACGAGGCCAGGCACCGGCGGCAGGATGCGCGTGTCGCTGCTGCTGCTGAGGCTGGTGCTGGCGGCGGCGGGCGCGCTGCTGGCGGGCGCGCTGCTGGCGAGCGCCCAGCTGGACGGGCCGCAGCAGCGGCGGCGCGACGAGGCCGAGCGCGCCAGGACGCTGGCCGGGCTGGAGGCCAACCTGCTCGGGCTGCTGGGCTTCGCCAGGCGGCCGCGGCCGCCGCCCGCGCCCCGGCCCCACGTGCCCGAGGCCCTCAGGCAGCTGCAGCGCCGCCAGAGCTCCCTCGGGCTGGCCGACGTCGCCAAGCGGGGCGTCGGCTCGGCCAACACCGTGCGCTCCTTCCTCCACGTAGGTCAGTCACTCTCGCACACTCGCCTATCGCCGCTCCGCCGGGGAGTCTGCCGTGCGCGACCGGTCGCCCGGCCCGGCCCGGCCCTGCCCGTGCGCGGGGGCCCTTGAATTTTGAATTGCGCGCGCCGCGCGGGCGTGCCGTCGTGTCCCCCCGCAGCGTCGGGCAGCTCGCCAGTCGACGCTTCGTCGGTCGTCCTCGAGCAACCGAGTCCAATGCCGTGCCGCGTTATTCCTTTGTCCGTACGCGCCTGAGAAAGTATTGCCGATGAAGCACGCGTAAACAATGCAATAATGTCAGAGTTTTAGGTGCGCGGTCCAAGACAATGTACGACAATTAGCCAGAGCCAGTCTCGTCGCTTCCGTTTATAAACATTCGTCCTTTTCCCTTTCGAGGCTTTATTCATGAGTGTAACATTGGCATATAGTCAGGAATTTCGACGATTGTTGTCAATGATTCCCCGCCTAAAGAAAGAGTATCGCGCGGGCTGCACATCATGAAAAATGAATCGTACGACGGCCGAAAGCTTGGAACCGAGGCTCTTTAAAAAATCACAGCAGCTGCGCGTGTGCTCTGTGATAATAAATAAGCTAGGTGGCAATGGCGTATGCGAGTCTGATATGCGCAAGCTGGCTTCACGTTTCAGTCGGAACGAAGCTTGCTTCTTCCATCGTTCGACTCGTCTCCTTCCACGAAAGCTGAAGTGACGAGTTGTTGCACTTTAACGCAAGCCTGTCGCGTAAAGCGGACGTGGCCAGGCCGGTAGCGTACAAGAGGGATGCCGTAACACGGATTTCGCGTTCGGGAACGATTCGAAGCCACCGATGCGCGCGAGCTTCCGACGAGGCGTAGATGCAAGCCTGACGGACCGAAGCTCCTCTCGGGTGTCGATCGCGCCGAGGACAACGCACAGAGGCGCGCGCGCGCGTCCGGCTGCCCACTGCACGCGAGGCGCGGAGAACGTGGCAAAGGGCTAGCTCGGCTCGGTAATTGAGACGAATGGCACGTTAAGTGATAGCGCGCGCGTGATCCTTAGCCGGTTAGCCGATGCTCGAGGCGAGGGGGGCAGCGCGGAGAGCCTCGCGGCTCGGGCCGACAGTGGGCAGCGAGTTCGCGGCCGAACATAAATCCCGCCGAACAATGAAGCGAGCGGGGTGGTCTCCCCCTGCCCGTCTGTCTTCCGATCTGCGCGGATAATATATTATATCAGCGGATAATGGATTCCGCTTACTGCACAATTTGCCCCGAACTTATGGCCCCCGCCCACCTACTCCGCGTAGCTTGCATTCTTCGCCGCAGCCTTGTCCTCCCCGCCGGCTTCTTCTTCTTCTTCTTCTTCTTCTTCTTCTTCTTCTTCTTCTTCTTCTTCTTCTTCTTCTTCTTCTTCTTCTTCTTCTTCTTCGCTCGAAAGACCGGCCTGGCAGTGCGCCTTTTGCGCACGGCTCGCTCGGCGATCCGCCCGGCCACGACCAGTGTCCACTTGCTCTCCGACGCGCTCGTCGCCGCGGCCGAGCGAGCGCGAACCGCAACGAAACGACCCGGCCGTCTGTTACAGAAAGCGACGTGGACGAGAGGTTCAAGTCGGCGCACCGCTTCCGGCTGATGTTCGACCTGCGCAGCGTGCCGAGCGGCGAGCGGCTGCGCGCGGCCGAGCTGAGCCTGAGCAGGGTGGCCCTGCCGGCGGAGCGGATCAGCGGCGGCAGCGCGCTGGCGCGGCTGCTGGTCCACGACATCGTGCGGCCCGGGCGCAAGAGCAGCGCCAGCTCGGCCCTGCTGCGGCTGATCGACAGCAAGGTGCTGCACCTGGGCTCGAACGCCAGCGTGAGCCTCGACGTGCGGCCGGCCGTGGAGCGCTGGCTGTCGGAGGGCGAGGCCGCCAACCACGGGCTGCTCGTGCAGGTAGGTGGGCGCCGCGGCGCGCGGCCCGCGGCCCGCGGGGCAGGCTTGACGGACGCCTCTGTGCGCAGGTGACGGGGCAGGCGCTGGAGGGCGCCCGCGACAGCGAGCACGTGCGGCTGCGGCGCAGCCTCGCCGGCCAGGAGGCGGCGGCGGGCTGGGAGCGCGCGCGGCCGACGCTCTACGCCTACACGGAGGACGCGGGCCGGGCGGGCGGCGCGCGCCGCCCGCAGAGCGCCCACGAGCTGATGGAGCGGCGCGCGCGCCGCGCGGCGCTGCGCAAGAACCGGCGCAAGGACGGCCGCGAGAACTGCCGCCGGCACCCGCTCTACGTGGACTTCGCCGACGTGGGCTGGAACGACTGGATCGTCGCGCCGCCGGGCTACGACGCCTTCTACTGCCACGGCGACTGCCCCTTCCCGCTGGCCGACTACCTCAACTCGACCAACCACGCCATCGTGCAGAACCTCGTCTACTCGACCAACCCCAGCCTCGTGCCCAAGGCCTGCTGCGTGCCCACCTCGCTCGGCTCCATCTCCATGCTCTACCTCGACGAGGAGAACAAGGTGGTGCTCAAGAACTACCAGGACATGTCGGTCCTCGGCTGCGGCTGTCGGTGAGCCGCCGCGGCCGCCCGGCCCGGCCAAGACTGCACCCCTCGGCGGCCTCCGCCACCTTCCGTTTCCCCGGCAGCGCTCTTGTCTTTTCGCGTCGATGTGCCCTCGTCGCGACCTCCCATTGTGTCGCCACTGCTGCTGCTGCTGCTGCTGCTGCTGCTCTGTCGCTTTTCACACTCTCGACCCTCCGGCCATCCTCCGGCTTGACCGCGGCCGCCGCCGACCTTCTTGCGTATTTATTTCCTCGTTTCCCTTTTGCTACGCCCCCCTCCCTCCTCCCCCCTCAGCCCCTCATCGCCACTGCTGAAAACTGTCTTGCCAATCTCGAGCATCTTCTGCATCTAGCTGCAAGCACGACGATTGTATTATATTTGTATGATAAAGTTGCCTTGTTAATTATACCGAGCGATTGTGAGAACGTTGCGAGCTGTTTATTGTACGTACGTGGATTGCTGGTCGTGTAAAATGTGCTAGTAACACCGTGTACACGTTGTAAATAAAATACTGTAAAGTCGATACGTAAATAGACGTAGGCGTAAGTATATGAATATTATGTAGGAAGAAATAGCTATACGTGGAAAGAGATAGTGTATGCCGATGGAGAATGAATTGTCACAGTGAAAAGTTGATTGTTTTTCTGTCTATTGATCAGTTGTACACAATTAAGCACACGTGTAAATAGTGAATAAACGTGAAATGCTTGAGCTGAAACGAAGTTGTAAGGAGATGTCATTTGTCCAATTGCATTGCGGAGGAAGCGATCCGAGGCTGGGAGCCCAGCGAGAACAAAGTTGAGGAGTAGAAGCGCGTAATCGGCAGTTGGAAACCGGTGACCGAGCGTAGCGTCTTTGAACGAGCATACGTAACGCGAGTGTCGCCGCGTGGCAATGCGAAAGACAGCTTTGAGGCCACTCCTCGATCGACGCCTCAAGATCGCTCGGAGCCGAGCTTGCGGCCCCGCGCGCCTCGCTCTGCGGCCTCGGGCAGGCTTCATCGATGAGCCTGCGCGCCGCCTACGTCGCAGACCTCGGATATAGCGCGCGCGCTCGGCCCCGTCATCCGTAGTCCGGATTGCGCGATTAGCGCTAAGTAGCCCCGATCGCGCGCAATCGCAAGCGAGCTCGACATCGAGCTACGGTGTAGGCTGCCTATTGTTCTAGCCAGGCCGCTCGTCGGCGCGCAGTCGCCGAGCGCCCGAGCGCCACTCCAAATAAGAGCATCCGATAATCGCGAGAGCAGCGAGAAGAGCGAGGCCCAGCGAGAGAGTCGCGAAGGACAGTCGAGGCAGCAGGAGAAAAAGTGGCAGCGAGGCGCACGTCAGCCAGCCAGCCAGCCAGCCAGCCCGCACTGCCTCCTCGGCTGGCTCTCGAGCGAGAGAGGAGCACGCGCGCGCAGCTAGCGGCCAGCTCGTTTGGAGATAATTCAATCGGCTCTCCGTGGGATCGGCATTCCAAAAGGACGATTCACGCACACACCTGCGACTGCGCCGCCCGACCGAGAGCAGCCGCGCGCGTGCTCCCGCCGCCGCTGTCCGCAGCCTCTCCAATTGTCGAGCATGATTGTCGAGAAAGGGCACCCGGCACGAAGCAGCGCTTCTCGTGTTCATCCGCGCCTCGTCACGTCGAGCCCGCGCCAGAAAATTGCTTCATAATGAGGGTGATGCCAGAGCGAGTCTCCTTTCGCGGCTCTTTGTCTTAGAAGCGAGAGAAGCGATGGCCAGCGGCGGGACGGGGGAGAGGGGGGGGGGGGGGGGGCGGCGGCGCGCACCTCGCCACACAGGTCGAGAATGCGGTCCGCTCACGGTGGCTCCCTCACCCTGGCTCTGCTCGCCTGACTGCCCGCAGCTCCCCTCCCGCGCCGGCGTCTCTGCGCTGCGCTCCGCTCCGGAATAACCTCTTCCTCTCTCTCTCGCTCTGCTCGCTCCTAAATCACGCTGCATTATCCGTTTAGCTGCGGCTCCGAGCGCCTTGCGCCAGCCGCGTCGGCTCGCTCGGATCGGCCGGTCATCCCTCGTTACGGGGCGCGCGACGGCTCTATTCCGCCCGGCAAATCGCTGTCGGCGAGCCGTCGCCGTCCGCTCGCCGGCTGGCTTATCTTCGACGTGCTCGGAGCAGTCTCCATCCAGACTTCTCTGCGGACACCCTTCCCTCGTCTGGTCTGCCGCCCGCGCCGCGCCCTTTCGGCTGGTGCCGGGCACGCAGCTCCTCCTTCTCCCCGACAATCCCAATGTGACTGTAGCTTCTGTGTGTGGGGCGCGACAGAGTGCAGTCGATCGTTCGATGTGTGAACGAAACTTTGACATTGAGCGGCCTAATCCGTCGAAGACTCGTTTGCTCGTCTATCACGGCTCTGCGGAGCGTACTCGCTCAGCGCCACACGCCCGGAGGCCTCCTCCCCCTTTCCAGCCCAAGTCCAAGCTCCCGATAAACATCGGCCTACCTCCTTCTAAAGTCATATTTCGCTTTCACGGCGTGCTCTTGACGCGAGCCCCCTTACAAGCTGTTACTGTCTAATGTGTTCATTCCCACTCCCCGTTTCGCCCTTTCGACATTTCACTTGCCTATATGTTTGTGCGTAAGCGTATGGGAGCGTCTCATCGACTTAATTAACTCCGATCGAAACACGCACGCTTCACGCTTGTTGGACTCCGAAGCGTCGTCGAGCTTATACCTTCATTTTAACAGTTTATCGTTAAATGTACCCCATTATTACACCACAGGCCAATAATTATACTTAGAAAACAGCTGTGAACGTCCCATCTGTATTCCTCGCATTATTACTCTACACATTGTTGGTTTCACTTACAATGCACGTTAACGTACTCTTTAAGGGGATGCCATATCTCAGTTTGCCGATTTTTTCATCGGGCCATATTTTGTCCTAAAATACGCATCGGAGAACAGTTAGAACTCGGCTAATTGGTTAATAATTATTGAATAATAAAGCAAAGTAAGATCGAATCCTTGATGAAATTGAGAAAAATTATATTTTTAAAAGAAAATTCAACATTAACTAACTATCTAATAATCATTTATTAACCCAAATAAATAAATAAGTAAATTAAAGTCGGTAAAACAGAGATATGGCATTACCTTAAATATCGCACCCGGTAGGCCCGGGTTCGATTCCCAGTTCTTGCTGATACAAGCACCTCTGAAAAAAGTTTCATGTGCTTTGTTCTGAAACACATTGCAAGCCTCCGTCGCTAATTAGCACTGATGGAGCATAAATAGAGCGACGTTAAAATAAAAAAAAAAAAAAAAAAAAAAAAAAAATTACCTTAAATAGTTATCTACACCACTTGTGTTTTACTTTAGTAATGCTATCGATCTCAAGCGATTGCAGAATTATCCTGACGACCGGTATGTTCGCCGTACAATTCAACCACCATGACAAGTATTAGTTTAAACATAAGATCGATGTTTATCGCAGTTCAAATTACCAATGATGTACGGATAATGTGATTGCAGCTAGAGAAAATAAATAATATGGATACACTGTAACGTATTGTCATGGGTTATCAAATAAAAAAAAAAAATCTACGTTGTTAGGCGATTCAATTATTTTGCCGTTATGATTGTTCTGTTTGCTTTCGTTTCTTCAGTTAGTTGAGGTTTTGAGCTCGACACACAAAAAAGGAAAATCTTAAGCTTAAAACTGTATTTGAAATACACAAATATAGTTTGTTTATTTCTTACATCAATTCTTTTCTTTCTTCATCGTATTTCTACAACGACTTCCAAATTAATATACGCAACCAACACTTGCCTCACATCACTATTATTTATTAAATATACGATTGTGATAGTACCGACTGAAAGAGAAAACTTTGACAATGTTATCGGCTCAAACGCGGCTGCCATATGCCTATATTTCATGGTTTTTCTATACTTTATTTGCGACAAATATCCTTTGATATGTAGTTTTTTCTAAAACGGTTCTAGATGATTTTGCAATATTTTTGATTTATCAGAATAAAATCAGACACTGGTCGTCTGAGTTTGAAGTTCTGAATATAAAATCAATAACAAATACAGCACGTGTTCACATTTGTTTTACTGATAACGATATATTGGTTGAATTTATTATTCAAATCTTAATTCTCATTCTAATACTATAATACATACCGAAAGCTATTTGTCGCAAATCTGTTGAATCCTAATTTTATGTAATCGTTGCTTTACTCGATCGATGTCTAGACATGAATGAAAAGCTTCCTTTAAAAAAGTCCTTACGTCAAGTACAGCAACGATTACATACAGAAATGTTGCAGGCGAAAAAGTAATTCAAATGAATTCTAATTTTGACACCGCAAAGTAATCATATAGTCAAGGTTCGTCTGTTTTCAGTACACATATTTCTATATCTATATACATGTTAAGGGTAGGGCAGGTTTAACTGTCCAAAGTTTCTTACGATTCCTACTACGTTATTTAGCGATTTAGTAATGTCAAATTTTTTAGCACAGGCTAAAAAAAGCTCTTTTCTTTAATAAAATATAACGATTTCTCTAATCCAAATAATGCTATCAATTAATTATTAAATAAATGTGATCGTTGATTATTTTCAGTCATATGCAACGGCGTATACGTGTGGTAATTATTTCTTTAACAAACCAAACAATATTTTAAATTCTCATCTGTTCTTGATAAGTACGTGAACATGACAAATTACAGGATAAACAAGCTACATAATCTAGCTTCATTTTATCGAACGTTTGTATTGCGGTATCATCAAATTTTTTTAATGTGCGTTCTCAGTTGATTCTATTAATGAAAGTCTATGAAGTGTTGGCTACTCAAGGTTGTGTCGGTAATGTAGCCCGAGTTACGAATTATTAAAATGAAAAACTTGTTTCTAATATCTATATGGTTAATGGGCTTTACAGCAACCTATGGTTGAAGCTTTTAATTGTAAGTTTTTATTAGTTTATCACTTCCTTATATCAATTTAAATATATAACATGACAAGTGTAACATTAGTAACTATTGTTTCTACGAATGTTTTCATTTGTATGCGGATCTCCGTACAACTACCAAGTTAAAATCCAAATTTCAATAATTGTGAATAGAAACGGCCAATGTCATTGAGATTTAACGTACCATTTTATTACATCACTAGCAACACTATTACACGAATTTTTAAGCATTTCACATTATTTTCGACCAATAGTTAATACAACCTCAAGTATACGTGTAACACCCTTTCTGTCCATCCCAAGATTAAAGTAAATAGAATAAAATAATCTTTCATTATCAGGATTTAATAGGATTTTTTAGAATTCGATAAATCACTGAAAACCAATAACGTTAAAGTCCCATCCACTTTTATAGCGATTTTCCTCCGGATTTCCTCCGAAATGGTTCGACCAAATTACAGACAAAGGGAACGTGAAATGATTATTATATATAACTATATTTTTTCACAAAAATATTCAGAAACGAACGATAGGTTCCAGCTGTTTTAGTTCATATTCTGCTCGAGATTTCTGCCCTTGCAAAGCTTTGAAAAAGAACAAATTTTATTTGAGATCCCTACATATATATAAACGTTGCTCCAAGATTCAATCTCGAATGTATGTACATCGCATTGTGAAAATGATGTAACTCGATCAGTATACGCGATAAATATATTGTGAATTTATTTTGGTGTATTTAGTGCAATAATTTTCCTAAAAATATTTTAAAAATAACTTGTAAATTTGTAATTAACTTGTAAATTTAAACGAAACCTTCAAATTAATAAAACTGAACAAATGAAAAAGAACACTATTTATAATTGATTTTCAATAAAATTATTTCAAGGGGCTAATACATCAAATGAATCGATATTGATTCATACTAGTTTTATCACGCTTAATTTAACAATCCGTATTATTTCTTTGGTATTGTAGAAAAAAACTACCCTTTTTTCATATTTTTGAAGATACGTCTAGCCGATATTCATAGCACATTAAAGTAGAGAAAAATTATTACGGCTTTCCTTCGATTGCTTGCCTAAATGATAATTAGTAATTTGACAGTTGTATACATCTTATAGATTATTCGATTGCAGAGCATTTTATCCAGTCGTTTCGACAGAAGAAATAGAAAAAATAATAGTTACATTCCAGCTGCTAGATTGATGAAATAAATAATTACATTTATTAATACTTTTTCCGTTGGAGTAACCGCATATAAGGCTCTGTAATTCAGCCACGAATTGTAGCTACCTTAAATGCTCAGTTTTGTAGTCTTATTAACTTTAAATTCACGTACGCACTGTTCCAACTTTTAAAGCTCAGCTAGGACCGAACTTTAAAAAAGAAAACAAACCTAATAAAGTTTCAATGCTATTTGATCATTTTTTTCTATTCAATTTAAAAAAAATGAAAACTGATTTATTTTTATTAACTTTTGTACGGTTATAAGTCGAAAAAGGGAATCACAGCCTTGCTACGCGATGTATCTGAGTATTTTCAGGTTTCATAGTTCTATTTTTTGCAGCATGAAATTTGAACATATCTTGAGACGACATATTAGGTAATATTACAATAAAGAGTACTTTTTATTATGTGTAAACAAACTAAAAAATCAAATCAGACTTCTTGGTACGGTAATGTTTACTAGAGATGAACAAAGTATTATTCTTTTCTTCGCGCACCAATGATGTGATTTAATTAAGGTAATAACAGAAATAAACAAGCAATTTTTCCTATTTCACTATGGATTTTGATGAGTAAACTTTCAACTCACTTATGAACATACAAATAATGCGATACCCGCTTTTTGTTACGCCTTTTTCTTGATTAATCATTGAGCTGTAAGTTAGAAACATCGTGTGAGATGCCCCTATTAAGTCCTTAAATATTCTAAACTCTTATGCAAACAGTTGAATGATTAATAAAATGTTATTAGTAATTCATATAACCAATACTCTAATGATTTTTACGAAAATTACAAAAATTTAGATTTTCTAATTAAATAGAAATAAAAAAATTTCTTTCGATAATCTATAATACAGCTTGCTGTAACTATATACTATAAATATTTTGATGACAACGAGCAAAGGCAAACATACGTTACGATAAAGTTATGAATGAGATGAGTATCGTTGACTTTCCAAATCAATCGGCTCGTGCGCACAGCACGTAAAACATTCATTTCCCTGCTATAATCTGATTCAATTTCTATTTTTCTTCCTCTTTTGGAAATAGTATACGAATAATGTCAGGTTTGTTTACTTTTCCCATGCTATTTTTTGGTATTTTGTTAACTACTTTTAACACAGTAGGTACAGCGTAACTGGGAAGAGATTTTTTAGCGAATTGTCGAAGTTGAGACAGAATTATTTCTGAACCTTCGGTCAAAACTATTACTGCAGCCACCTAACAAAGTAGTATTACAATTCAATTGTGATCGATTGTTAAAATTAAAAATCCAAAGGTTAAGATTTGACTAAATGTTTTATTGTCCGAAATTGGGAAACTCAATTATACTCACTTTTTGACCCCAAGTAATATCATCGACTCCAACTACCGTACAATCAATAATGTCTGGATGACCCAAAATGACCGTTTCTACTTCGACTGCGCTCACTTTGTAACCTCCGCTTTTAATTATATCGACCGAACTTCGTCCCAACATCTTGTAAATTCCTGAATCATACTGTACGGTATCACCTGTAGTGATCAAGAATCAATTATAAACGGTAAATCTTGTATTATGTTCTATAAATATTGGCCAATAAAAGAACTTTACCAGTTTTAAACCATCCGTCTTTCGTGAAAGAGTTTTTAGTAATTTCAGGTCTGTTCCAATATTGTTTAAATACATTATCTCCTCGAACTTGTAATTCACCGTTTACAGGTGATTTTGCTCCATTGGTTAATTGGCTTGTCTTTGAATCTCCATATACAAGTACATTCGGTTTTACATTTTCCTCTGACTCTGACTTGATTAGCCGAATTTCTACTCCTGGTAATGGCGTACCCACACTACCTATAAGTATACTCATAATTATAAATTTAATTTTATGGAAATTTTATGAAATTATTAGCATTATGAAATTTAAATTAGTTCTAACGAACCTGGAATTCGTTCTCCTTCAAGGGGATTTGATAAAACCATTCCGGTCTCTGTCATGCCGTATCTTTCAAGTAAACGATGTCCGGTTATTTCTTCCCATCTATCGAATATTGGTTTAGGTAGTGGAGACGAGCCGCTGATCATCAATCTATAAAGTAGTGATTTAGTCCATTAGTGCTTTTAAAGAATTTATTGATTATAGTTTTTCTTCATTTTAATTTATAACATCCAATATTTAATATACTTTTCAAAAATTTGAAATACCAATGAATTATTAACAATGTATTATGTACTAATCCAAAGCATTAACATACATATAGAATTGTTGTATGGAACAGTGCATATATAAACGCGCTATTACACTTGCAAAAAGTACAAAATAAATTATTAAGACATAAATACTTAAATAGGAAGCAAGATAAAAATGAATATCCTTTAGCTATTAAACAGTACTACCTAATTGCAAGTGTGATGACAAATTATGATCAACTTTCATCTAATTACGAGCAATCAATAAAAAGAACAAGAAATAAATTCACTCTGCCAAATATTAACAAAACAATTAAACTAAAAAGTCAAAAACCATAACATAAAAGATTTTCAATAAATTAAATTATAATATGAAAAAATATATTTAAGAAAAAACTAAGAAAATAAATACAGAACAATACTAAACTACTAAAAGATCTTAACATAATGTACAATGTACGATTTATAATGTTAATTTATTGTACTTTAAAATTAAAAAATCTTATAGTATGTATATATAATGAAAAAATTATTATTATTATTGTTATTATTATTTGTGTTACAGTAAAGCAAAAAAAGTTTTTGGTAACCTGTCACGTACATAATATAATAAGTCCGATGTATCAAACTTATTATGATAGTATTGCAGCGATCATTGTTTACATTACTGACCTGATTTTATTAACACAGACGTTATAAATGTACTCTTTGATTTTGTCGTTCTTTGCAAACAGTTGGTCATACTCTTGTATCAACTTCATATAGATTGTAGGTACTGCAGCAAGTACATTGATTCTTTCTGTATTCTGAAGATCTACTGCAGTAATTTGTGCCCATACGCTTGATGCTGAAAATTTTGGTAACATAACACAGCGTCCTCCTACATAGAGCGGGCACAGAAGCACGTTAATGATACCGTGCACATGATGCAATGGCAAAGTATGTAAGAATATATCTTTCTCGGTGTGTTTCCAAGCTGATATTAGTGAATTGACTTGAGCTTGAATGTTTTTATGACTCAGAACTACTCCTGTAATAAACGCGATAATTTTATTTTAACATAAGTATTCGCACGTCATAGGTAAACAGTATTTCCAGACATTTTGCTTGATTTCTTCATTACAACAAAAATTGACATTACTAATATATTTGTAATTCTTTTATGTGAAAACTGTTGCATGGGTCATTCTAAAACTGATTACTCGTCATGTAGGAGTGAAAGTTTATCCTTGATATCTTTTTAATACTGATTAAATTATCTTTCATTCAAACAAAAGATTGGAGGGAATTAATGATAAAATTTTTTCTATTTTAATGTATAGATATTTTGCGATATTTTTTTAATGACTAAAAAATAGGCAAAATACCTGAAAATGCTTATTGTCAGTGGCACACAGAGGCACATGTATGTACAGACACATACACAAAACTGATCAGATATTATATATTATTTTAGTAATAACATAACAGTTCCAATTATTAATTTGACTTCAAAGTACTTATTTAATACGTTTTGTATTCCTCTTGTCACTCAGATGAATGATATCAATCAAATGTAAATTATTTGCACCACTTATAAATAAACTTAGAAATCTAAAGAAAGGAAACTATTAAAAAGTGTATAAACTAATGTTACTAAAAGGATAGCAGAATAACATTACAAACATAATTATTTTCGCTGCAATAGTTGTGCAATGAAGAGCTTAAAAATAACTTTTTTTAATTTATTTTTTATTCTTCATATCTATAATCAATGATAAAAAATACTATAATTTTATTAAATATTTGCGTACCTTTTGGTTTACTAGTAGTACCTGATGTATAAACAAACATCGCATTGCTTTTGTTGTAAAAATCTCCTGGTACTCCTGCATCCAAGAAATTTCCAAATTCGTATTCAAATACTCCTTTATTATTTGCTTGTTTGCCATCTGCTTTCATAGCTAAAACTCGTAAGGCATTGTCAAATACTATGAGATGCTTATTTCGCTTAACCATGAGTGGTTCAATGATTGGTAAATAATCTTGTGTTGTAACAAATACTTTAGCATCTGAGTCTGTAATATAATAATCGAGAACAGGTGCTGGATGTTGATCATTTAAGGGTACAGCTGTAAAAAACATATAATAATAAAACTTAAGATTATTTTACACTTACTAATATAATGAATACATGTGTGTGTACTTCATCAACTATGTATTTTGTGCAAAATGTGCATATGAAATGTTATATTTTTTCTATTTTTCCCAAAAAACCTTTGCTAATTCTTTTATAAACTCTTGCACATTTCAATTGATTTTTCTTAAGTTCCTTTTGCCCAATCATTTATCAGATAATACTCATCACTTATAAAATTTCTTACAACAAATTTCACAAAATCATTTAGATTGGAATGATTCTAAATTTTGTAAAACTACTTGTATGCAATTTCTGTGAAAAACCACTAGGACAACTAATTTAATTATGACAGATTAGATCCTAGATACATTTTTTATCCCAATTTGAGCCTTAAAAAATAATGTAAGTGAAGTTTGTAAATAAATACAAACCTATTTGTCCGCTGATCCAGCATGCCCACTGTGTAATGACATAGCTACCATCATTAGGCAGTAAAAATGCAATTCGTTCTTGACTGCCTTCACCTAATAATTCATTAAGCTCATTTGCAAATTGTTTTGCACTGAGATATAGGCCTCTATACGTATACTCGCCATGCATATCACGTATTGCTGTTCGATCATTATATTGTGCAGCATATTTAAAGACAGGCACTACATCGTTAGAAAACTAGAAAATTAATATTATTTTTCTGTAGAAAGAACATGAAAAAGTGAAAAATATCAAATAAGGATGAATATTCCAATGAAGCATTTGAAAACTGAGGGTAAGGCATGTACACGTTTTGAAATAAAAATGAACATCTTGAACAATCATCTCATGATTGGGCAATATGAATTTTATAAACACAAATGTTTTGAAGCAATCAATAGATATGTTAGAGAAAAAAATATATGGTATAAATTATTGAATAAAATATACCTGGTGAATTTCTGTTGTGGAGTTTAAAGCAGCATGAGTTTGTTGCATTCTTTTTGAGGAAATACCTTTTCGGTGGAATTTAATCGAGTTTATCAGGTAATGAAACTTTCTTCGTATAAGAGAACTCATTGTTTAAATAAGAATCGCTCTGCAAAGAAAATCAATTAAAAGACCTCTATTCTTAAATAGCTTTATTTCATTACTAAGCAATATGTGGCTAAAGTATGTATTGAAGCCACAATTATAGAAATTTACATATATCGTAACATTTTTGAAAAGCAATTTATGTATAGAAACTTTATCAATCGGAAGTGTCCGTGAAAAGGTTAAGATTATAGTTTGGATTTCAATTATCGATATCAATGAGTTGTAAAAAACATTCGAATGATCAGTGATTAGCATATATAGCCAATGGTAAAGATGAGTGACGCTAAAGTGAATTCTTGAATTATGAATATATGTATATATAACCTGCGAACTATCAATCAAAATTCTAAACTGCAAGAATTTGCAAATATTTAAGTAATTTAAGTAATTAAGAATTAGACTCTAGAAAAGTAGTAAAACAGTAAGTGTGGACGACTGGTCACTGGACGTGGTAGTTATGTTACAACTGAAATATGGATAGATATGATCTGCCTTCTCATGACCAGGTGACGCCACATTATATTACTAGGCATTTTTTTGCAAAACTTTACATTAGTACAGAGTCTAGACTCCAGTTCAGAGTTCAGACTCCAGATGCCAGGCGGGCCCCGAGTCTAGTACCAAGTGCCACTAGCTAGTTCAGCGTGGTCCAGACAATCAGTATCAAGAATCAACTTACAACTTACGCGAAGAATAGTAGACAACTATGTACAAGACTATGGAACTGAAACCAATAAAAAAGTTATGTATGTTTGTTGAAGAATATTACCAACATTGCACAAATTACTGATAATTGAACAATGTAGATATTACCTACGTTATTCTGTACCCAAAATGTATTAATTGAGAGTGTCAGCGTGCACGCGAATCCGTCGGCTGTTTTGCTAAACACAAATACTTATAACTTGCCGCGCATTAGTGTATTTTTAATTGTTTACACACGTGAAGTCAACGTCATATATTTTACACATTGAAAGGGAAGTGTCAAAACATCACGTGTGTTGCATGTGACTGTTTTGATTTTGAAAACGATTGTTGTCCAATTTTATGCGCGACTAAAGTATAGCTATCTCGATCATTTCATAATTTATTGTAGATATAAGTTGTGTATAATGTATTTCTATTAAATTGTTTATTTTTGCCTTTTGCATTCGATCATACCAAATTAAGAGGTTCAAATATATAGCATTATTAAAAAGTATTTTATTGATCCTCAAAGTGCGACCTTGGAACCAAAATAAATCATTGAACCCCGTTACGTCAATTGCCACACTGAAAATGTTTTTGGTCTGGAAATCCTTTATTGTCCATTATCTATGCGCAGTTAAAAAATAGAGAAAATTTGAAAAATGAATCGCCTACATTCCTTGTTAGCAACTGTTTTGGTCACTGTTTATTTATATTTGTTACAAACACTGCTTGTCCCATTTCTATTCATTCAAAGATACGCACTGGTATTATCTAGGTGCGCTAAAGCGGCTCTATTACGGTTACCGACTGAGTAAATGAAAGAGGTTTTGTCGTAGAGGTTATTTCTTAATCGAATGAATTATTGAAGTTGAAACTTTCTGAAAACATTACTTATACATAAACAAAACGCGTTCAACTCTTACTTTTATAAAATTAGACACAAGTAGGATAAAAGATTATTGTGAATGAAGTTTTTATTTATGAAATTTTTTTGACAAAATTAAAGTTGAGCGCGCTTTATTTATATATGTGTAATGAGTATCCTCAAAAAAAATTCAACGTATAAATTATTTGTTCGGGAGAAAACTTCTAGAAAAACTTCTTTCTTCTCAGTTGGTAATGCAAATGTTATAGAACACCGAGCAACAAAAGGTAAATTGTTATTATATCTATCGACTCTGTTACTAACGTGCGGCAAGGCAGATAGTGATATTACCTATGATGGACCTAGCGCAATCGCTGAAAAAGTTTCAAGTTGATGACTACGAATTTATTTGTTTGTTCATTTGTTTTTCTCAATTTTTCGAATTTTCGTGGATATTACTAATAGACAAAATGAAGAGCAAAACACTCGCGAAATCTCACAAAATGCTGCTTTCTAGAAAAGTTAGAAAAATTGAAGTGGGGTAAATCAAGGATACTTGTTGATATCCGATGTCCTCTTAATACAAATTAAAATGTGTATTTAATTAATGTTCGATTAAACATATCAATTATTTAAATTATATTTCTACGATAAATGAATTTCAAAACCTAAAGATGATTTTTTATTGCAAGAATTAGTTAGTAATTACTATATTTTCAAAAAAAGAATTTTCTTTTAATCAAAATACACGCCTATATGAACATCAAAGAACTAAATGCGCACGGACGGATGCGCAATAGTCTAGTCATGCGACAGAATTCATGTTTTTGGAAGGGTTAGAATCCCTTCTGTAAACGCCCTTAATTTCACAGACAGAATTTGCTCTGCGGATGATTACTTATAATTAATTTGAAAATTAATTTGTAATCACAAGGAACATTAGCACGCTCTTTGCAGTTAAGACGTAAAGCCAAATATTCGGATCTAGAAATGTCAGACAACGATGATTTTAGCTCGGATGATTCACCTCAGACATGGGTGTCCTACAGCGAAAGAGACGAATGGAGAAATGTTGTACCCGTTGAGCAGGACGATGGTCCGAATCCTGTAGTGCCCATTGCATATTCTGATAAATGTAAGTACTTTGAACAATCAATAACCTTTGTCATATTTTTGTTGTTTCCTCATGATCATGCTTTCTGACAGAATCTATCTTGAAATTAATTTGCCTGAACTGATTTTGACTATTTTATTTATTTATTTATTATTTTATTATTTATTTACTATTTTATTTGTTAAAGATTAGTTTGATATTGCTTTCCATTTTTAATCGATATAAGTTTTCTTATTACGAATTACTAATTTCAATTGAATATTGAACTTTTTTATTCCTATTTTTAGTTCGAGAAACACATGACTACTTCAGAGCAATATTAAAATCAAAAGAAAAATCAGAACGGGCTTTGCATTTAACTGCTGATTGCATTTGGTTGAATGCTGCAAATTATACTGTATGGCAGTACAGACGAGAAATTCTTAAAGAGCTTGGAATTGACCTGAAAGATGAATTAGAATTTATAGAGATGATCATAAAATGTAATTTTAAGAATTATCAAGTTTGGCATCATCGAAAAGTTATTGTGGAGTGGATGCAAGACCCTAGTGCTGAACTTCAATTCACAAGTAACATTTTGAAAAAAGATGCCAAAAATTATCATGCATGGCAACATCGTCAATGGGTTATATCAACTTTTAAGTGAGTCCATTAAAAATAATATATTATAATAAGTCTACTGTGAATTATTTTTTTAAATATCGATAATTTAGTTTGTTTGAAAATGAGCTGGAATATGTTGAACAGTTAATATCCAATGACATTAGAAACAATTCTGCTTGGAATCAACGTTATTATGTTATAAGTAATACAACACATTTTGAACCGGAAATTATTGAACGTGAAATTGATTATACTCTTAAAAAAATTTCTGAAGTACCTGGAAATGAAAGTGCATGGAATTACTTGAGGGGGTAAAATATTGTTTGTTTCAATTTAATATTGTATAAATATCTTGAGTTGAATTTTAACATATATATTTTATTTGCAGAATTTTAATGCACGATAAAAGTGGTGGTTTGGCATTTAATTCAAGAGTCTCACAGTGTTGTAAAGAACTTTATAATCAAAACTATAGAACAAATCATCTTCTAGCTTGTATTGTTGATATTTGTCAAGAGAGGCATTCCAAGAATGAATTGACAGATCCTTTTTTTCAAATTGAAAAAGCAATACAGGTATAAGAAATTCTTTTAGTTATTTAAAAAAAACTAATTTTCAAATTTTAAAGAACAATTTATTTTCAAGTTATGCACTGATTTGGCTCAAACACATGATAAAATACGTAAAAGGTATTGGAAATATATATGTCAACAAATATCTGAAAGAGAGAAAGCTGAAACTTAATATTATGAAATATAGATTAAGATGATTTTTTTATTGGTGACACCGGATTGGTAGCTTTGTGCTAAAAGAGCTGCTTGTTCTTAATTTTTTGGTATTTAAGACATTGTTGGTAAACAATCTTCAATGAAATAATAAGGTAAAGTCTATATAAAATGTACAAAAATTGTAATGTTTTGAAAAAATTTGATTAATACATTTCTATCATACAAACTACTATTGTATATAATGACATTCAATTTACGAAATCATGTATAATATTAACTATTCGAATTATAGATTACATGATGAATTATTTACTATACTGTTGGTTAGATATAATTATATATTTTATTGAATAAAATACATATTAGAGAAAAATTATAGGAAATGTAGTGCCTCGCGAAATTAGTGACCACGTCTTCGGATCTATAATTCTACAAATACTACAAATAACATTAAAGTAAAATTAAGTTGAGTATTTGTGTAGGTACATACATTTTTTCGTTATTATGAATTTAGAAAAAAGAAAAAGAGCTGTTCGTTATACACCAGGGTTAAGGAGGCTCCAGACACTATAGCAAAAGTCAAAACAGCTTAAACAAATAAAGTTGTGCAACGGAGTATATATTTAGTATAAAAAATCTTATAACTATTTTTAAAATAGTATTTGTTCAAAAGTAGCCATTAACATAACACGCTTTATTTATAAATTTAATAAATAGTCTCGAAATTGATCTTTTTCTGTAATGAGCCAATCAGAAACTAGCTTTTATTGATACTGCATATGGTTAATACGAAATGTTTATTTAATCTAACGTGACCTAATTGCGTATCGCGCAGTCACGAGCTGTGTTATTTATTAAATTTTAAATTGTCGAAATATTCAGCCGAAAGTTATGAAAACTTTTCATTGAGAATATGTAACACATTTTGCATAATTCAACATCGCACGACTTTCTTTAATAGCAAAACAAATATGGCTGCCGTTCAATCGCCGGATACCCGAGGGCCTAATAAATATTTTAAACAATTTTCAGAAATATCTTGATATTTTACACGACTACCTATACTTTTAAACATATCATATGAAAGCTGAACTCTTAATCTATAAGAATATTACTTTTCTATTTTGTAACTACTCATTTAAGGTTAGTAACGAATTGATTTTAAATCTTATCCGCGGTGGGTTCCATATGAAGACATGCTAAATGTGTAAACTTTAAAATGGAATATCTCAAAATTTTCCATGGCTTGCGGGGTAAATAAGTATATCCTTGGATTCAGCGCAATCTAATCTATCGAAATCACTTACTGATATACTAACTTTCCGCGCTGGAGCCCCCTTAAATTTATAATTCTCACATCGCATGTACACCCTACCCTCTTCCAACACACACATACAGGAATCTTTTTTATCGACTTCATATTGGAGGTCGAAATTAATTAAGTTTGTAATTAAAAATTGCGTTTAATGGTCAACTCAACGGATTTATTATGTCCTTTTCGAATAAAAAGCTTGAAAAACGAATTTTTTCTTGAAGTACATATGCTGATGAATTGCCAACTGATCCAGCCGTCGAATCATCAACTGGTTATGCGATCATAAGGTAATGCAGAATTCTTATACTCTTAAATTAATATATATAATTATATTTCTTCTATTACCAATCTAATGTGTAGGGTAGAAAATAAGTAAATATACACGGTGTACAGTGATTAAAGAAAGCATGGAGAAAAAATCAAAGAAATTGAAATTTCGCTCCATTTCCGATTGTAAAAATCATGAAAATCATAAGCTTCATACTATAAGTATCAGACAACAAAAAATTTTAAAAAGAAGAATCAACACTGTTCCATTAAGAATAATCTAAACTCGTATAAACTTTCCACTAAATAAAAATATACATTTTGTACAAATATGTATGAAATTATATATTATATGAACAAGAATATATATAGAATCTGTACAAATTTTGTGCAATACTTGTACAAAATTGGTACGTTTTTTCCAAAGAAAAATGCACAAAATTTGTACAAGTTTGATACAAACCTTATATAAGTTCTGTATAACTTTTATACAAAATTTGCTCGAAATCTGTACAAATTTTATACTCAATAATTTATTTTTTCCTAAAAATTGAATAAATAATACGTATACATTATGGACAAAATAACATGGACAGTTTCCATAAAAGATGAATTATAGAGAAAATAACCGTCCAGACCAAGACTTGAACCCGAGACTTTCATGTTACCAGACTTGTACTCTATTACTTTTTTCCGTTGATTATTATATGCGTGATTTTTTTATTCTATATTATGTGCAATCTGATAATCGTGTATAAATTATTTGATTATATGTAGTGAATTGCATTTTTACACGTAATACCGATCAATTTAAATTTACCGGAAAAATATAGAACAAAAAGAAATTTACACACATACACGCACACGCACGCACTCACGCATGCACATACATATATTGTTAATTTTTAATTCATTGCTATTATCAGCAAACATATAGCTTATTGACTATGATTGAATAATTATTGAACAATTTTCAGATCATGTAGAAAGTAGATTAAAATTAGAAAATACCGTAATAGTTATTCGTAGCAAAGTGGTAAAATACAAGTCAATTATAATTTAATTTTCTTTGTTTTTTAATATATATTTGTCTACGATTTAGAACTTTTTGTAGGATATCTTCATATCCACAGATGTTTCTTCTTTCAGGTTTCAGCTCGTTTGAAGCAGTACTTTTCTCACTAACTCTATTTCAACATATTTACTTTCAGTTATATTATAGTTATCTTTTACTATTTATCCGTAACAATTTTAAGTTTAAATTTACATTTATATGTTTAATTAAAAAATCTATCGATTTGTATTTCTCTTCGTCTTTAATAATGTTTGTTCGAAGTTACACTTTGTATCAGAGGTGTACAATAAATTTATATTTATATACAATAAAATTAAGAGCATTAAAATTGTTTTCATATTACGTTAAGGTTAGGCCATTGAGTGAATGTGAACATTATTCTTTTTAATCCCTACGAAGTCTGTTACTTATTTTTTATTCATTTGGTTAATGAATATAAAATAAATATAAAACGACTCGACGTATTTATTAGAATGAATTTGCTGAATGTGTCAGCTGCTGTGCTAATAATGGCTTGTATACATTAAGTCCAAACATGCATATATACACATGCATACCTACCATATTTTCGTTTTATTTCGTTTTAATGGCTGTGGGTACCTGAGGACTTCAATGCGCCACAAATCAACATACCTACCATATGATGGGAACCCACGTGACTACCTTTCAGCCAATCAGATCACGAATAAAATGACTTTACTTGATAGGTCATTACTTTTTTATATAGGAAAATGGAAAAGGTATGAGTTTGTGAGAGTAAAGTGAAAAAAAAATGGAAACAACAATTAGCATCATTACTATATTTCAGACTGTTTTAATACGTTTTTTCCATAATCAATTATATCTATAATAATTGTAATAATTCTATAACATTCAATAGCCAATATTCCAATGATTTCCTTAGTAATGGGCACTCGCGCATTGCGACCAATGAAAGTAATCTTTCACTATTGAATTACGAATTATAATTCAAAATGAAAGGCGCCGATTTTTTGCTTGATTGCCAAGTCTTTCTCATATACTTTTATAAATAACAGAAATCGAATGGTTCTTGTTGTATACAAAAGAATAGTAAATATCTATAATTTTGGTGTACAAATTTGCAAGGTTCTGTGCAAAAAAATTCTGTGAAACGTGCATATTTATATATAAATATATATTTCATGTAGAAAGCATCAAATTATCTTATTAAAAAATTAGTTTTTTTCTTGATAATTAGGCCTTTGTTTATATAAACAAGATATCTTTTCTACTTTCCTTGGTCATTTATCTGTGAAATTTGCTTTCGCGTAGTCGTAAGCAAGTGTTATCTTTCTTTAACGCTATAAGACACGTAACTTTACCACGGACAATGGACATATACATATATATAGACAATGGGTATACACCAAAAATACACTATCTATAGTATTTCTGTATCATCCTCTTCGTTATCATTTTATAAACATTAAACAATCAGCATTATATTATTTCTTCTTAATTATTTGTTGGCGTCTTTAATTCCTTTTTCTGTGTGAATGACTTTCATTCCGGCATTTATTAATAAAGGCAGATTTTCTCGGTACGCATTTCTACTCTTTATCTTTGCTTTCAACATAAGTAAAAAATTATCACTTCATCACAATCCATATTAGTTTAATGAATAAGAAAAACTTATCTGAATGAAACTGTGCTTTTTGTAATCTGCGACAAGTCACAATTATTTGACTAACAAAAAGCATGACATTCGAAGTCCTGTTAGATATAATCGTTAATAGTTTTCTATCCTATAATGGACATTTTGCCAGAGCACTGGACTCATTTTAGCCATTATTACTCAAGCGAAATCTACGTTAGTCAGCACCAGACTAACTATTAGATCACTATTTAAATGAAAATAGTATAATTCTTAATTGATATGTGAAGGCTTTTTGACGAAACTCGTTACAGCACTCGTTTCCCATTTGTATCGTAAACCTCTTATTTCGTCAGAAAGCTTTTGATCATCCATTAGGAAATGTACTATTACCATTATGTTTGTTTTTTTCAATTCTGCAAAACAATTTTACATTTATTTTAATAACTTTATAATAAATATACTAAACAAATAGAGTCTGACAAAAATATAGTATAAAGATTTTTGATTTGTTTTTTACCATAGAATCGATTGGTAGAATCAGTCTTTTGAATTGCAAAATTTCTAGTAATTTGTTTAAGTAACTTTGTATAAACAATTGGAATTGCACAAAGAAAAAACATACGGATACATTTTTTTCGTTCGGACAATGTTCAAATAATTAATTTGATACTATTTACCTGCATTTCGCTTGGATAATAATCACTTACACAGTAACGACATTAAAAGCGCATAAATATATAAAGTAAAAGAAATGTCAAGAGTAAACACGAATTTGGTAAATAAGTTCACGTAAAAATTTACCATTACATTGGATTATTATCGGTATAATAGTAGTTAATGCATTTTCAAAATGCAAAAATGTCAAGTAGAATCTTTTACAAGTTTATACTTTAAGCTGTATAATCCATAACCATAATATATAGAGGCAAAAATTCTGTTTTTCTTTTGATATTTCTTATAAGATACTTATACATTCGCGTATTTTTAAAGCATTTCTGTGTGTGTACATAGATATATACAGAAACCAAGTCAAATCGGTTCACCTTTCAGGTATTACATTGAAATCTAAACATTTCATCCAGAGAAAAAATAACAATTAACTGATTTAACGGGTGACAATACTCTTATCAAATGATGTTTGGCAGGACCATTTTGAGCCAGTATTTATTACGTAAACCTATTTCTTCGATGATTTTATTATTATTATTTTTTATTTTTGTTAAATAAGTTGATCATCAAAACGAGACAACTTTAATTAGGCGTAACGTGGCTCAAGGTATTCAGCTCATATTGGACCAAAGATGAACCGATTTCGTCCTTTGACTGTGTATATCTGCGGATATACGTAGAAGGATTTTCAATTAAATACTTTATGTTCTCATTATCTTATATCGCTATGCATGTATGTGTAAACATGCACGTATCAACGTATTTTTGGTTTTTAATTCTATATTCAATTTTTAACATTTGTTTGTAAAGTCTTACATAGTTAGTCTCTAATTGGACCATAATCAGCAATTAAAAGTATCCACAACCTGAACATTATAAGTACATTGGTTTTTTTAGGTGTTACCTCTCCTTTAATTAAATAGTTGCATTGGTTTTACGTATTTCACAGAAAAATTTTTAATAGCACTGTTAAATTTTCTTTTAAGTACAAAAGTAGAATAATTCAATTTAATAACAATTATCATTTTATCTTTTTCTATTTAATTTGTCGTCAATCTATATGTTAGTAGTATACGTAATCAATCTTAACCGTCTTTATCCATCACATATCTGTACCAAAATTCTTTATGTCTTGTCTCTATTCCAGTTCCTACTATGAGAAAATTGTTGTTTTATATTAAAATGAATCAATATATTCTCTTCCGCCGCTGCAATAATATTATACTAGTATTCGTCCTTGTTCCAAATTTTGGAATATAAAAATACTGATGGTGATGTGTGTGTGTGTGTGTGTGTGTGTGTGTGAGCGCGCGCGCGCGTCTGTGTATACATTCAATATATATTCACACACATATATTTAAGTTTATAAAAATACAAGTAATCATATGTGTGTGTATTGACGAAAAATAATTGCACACATATAACTCAAGTGAGAAGAGAAATTTAACAAAATACTTTCGAAATTATAGATTATAGTTAGCGGTATTTTAGAAGGTGCTTTGAGCTTTAGATCATATAATTGTTAATTTTCTTGAATTTTCTTTAAATAGACTTTAGGAAATATAATATAGAATGTGATTATAATCGGAGTATGTAAAGTGACGATATTACTTTTGGCAGCTCAATTGACTTTTATATAGTCATTTTTAGTATTTTAGACCGCTTTACTGATAATTACTTTTCACACGTCGAGACTAGGTTATTGGATTAGAAGAAATAGATATATTTGATAATAGTAAAAGATATATCAATCTTATAAAACACTGAGCTTGAAGTTTACAACATTTACTGTTAACGGGAATGTAATAATTCGCTTGATACATCTTGCACTCACCCTTAACATAAAGCATAAATAACATTGTTTAGTAGTTATGAATCATGTATTTTTATTTTTATTTCTGTGTTTCTGTTCAATCTTAAACATTCCAAACTTCAAACTCACGGCCTTTGAAGATAGGGTTAATTTAAGCACATGCACTCTACTTATATGTGCGATATTTTTTCTGAGTTATGAAATAGACGTTATTGCATATTGGGCAACGAGATTTGTGAACATTTTTGCAACACACATATCTAGCAAAAATGCAACGATTATCTTTCTCAATATCGAAAATTATTTAAATTACTATAAGAGATTTCACAAGAATCGAAAGACAGCAATAAATACTACTAACATTTTTTCTTTTCTTTTTTTTAGTGAGATTCAGAGTAGCAAGATTTACTCTTAGTCAAAAAAAAACATTAATTTTAAATATACTACATCTTTATTTTACTAGCAGCAGATAGACTTAGTCTTCGCATAGTCAATTGGATAGATATTTGATTGATAATATAAGTGAATGCTTACTAAAACTATTATTTTTATAACTTTATAGGAGAGAGAGAAAGGAGAGAGAGAAAAGAGAGATTGAGAGAGATAGATAGATAGATAGAGAGAGAGAGAAAGAGATTACACATTGCAAAATTCTAAAATTTTTTCATTAAAAGAAATTAAGAAATCGACAAGAATATTAAGGTATAGAGAGTTTTGAATAGTAAAACCATGAAATGTGCGTTAATAGAGATTTTATACGCGAATATTTTTATTTGAAATCTACTACAAAGTTTAATATTTTGAAGATTAGGCTGAAAGAGTCGCAGCCAAATTGAAAAAAAGAGCACCATAGTTAAGTATTGGTCTTCCACTAAAAACAGTAAACTCTCGAGATAGATAGCTAAAAGCAACCTTCATCTATTTCATTGATTGAATCTGTAGCTTAATTTTCGATGGATATCGTTCCTGTCTCTTTCCATTACTTAATTATAACGCTTCTGGAAAATCTCTTTTCAAGATTTCTAACATCTTTAAATAAAATATTATCAATATTTGCTTGATTATGTGCTCTAATTTTTTAGGTTAAAGATCCCACATTCAAGAATAACATCAAAAACATAGTGATTCTGTATCCTGCTTCTTTGATTTCAAACGACGGTTAGTTCACTTTTACACCTCATTTTTTTTAAATTTTTTATTTTATGTAACAATATAATAGCATCAGTAATCTTACTTTCTATAATTAACACAGGTGTAAAAAATTTGATGAAGCTATTTTAATTATTTTGTTTGCTCTCGTTGTTTTTGCGCTAGACCGATAAATATTTGTCTGGTAATGAATGCTCTATTATTCGGTTTGACAATGGTGTTCTTCAATATTCAATTTTTACACCTCAATATTTAGTCATTCCACTCAATAATATATCATGGGCAGTGATACTATTTCAATCGTAGATCAAATTGAGGCTACTAAAACATCAGCTTTCAAAATATATGTTTTTTTTACTACCCCTTTACTACTGAGACGAAAATTCGCATGTATTAACGTATTTAAAAATATTTCATATCTATATTCGACACGGAGTTTCCATATATATGAAATCCCCGTGTCGATTGAGGAAATCAAACATTTTTTCATAAATAGATTGTACTGTATCTACATTTCACGTGTGCATTTTTTATAACTCATATTAATGTTACGGCAAATTTTCAAAAATGTAATTAATTGATTTTATTTTTATAAGGATTTTTAATTCTTGCACGGTTTAAAAATAAAATTATACATACATATACATGAGCAATTTCACGATCAATATTTCACTAGATCAAAATTTTTTTTCATTTTTTCGTCGATGAAAATATTATTTGCATTTTCTAAATATGTATGTAAAATTAAAAATCTTGAATACTCAAAATTATATGTTCTTCACGCGTATTGAAATGAACTCGTTAATTGTTATTTTATTCACAGAACGAAAAATTTTCCATTTTTTAATTGTTACCAAATATTCAATTTTGAGCGTGAATTTTCAAATACATTGTTAATGGAAAATAATTTCAAAAAAGTGTTTGGTTGACTTGACGTGAAACTGACCTGATATATATATTTATTCGTTTATTTAATCCCTAGATCTTAAAAAAAAAAGAAAATAAGTAATATTTTAATTATACCCAAGCTACAATAATGAAAAAAATTTTTACACGCTCTATGAATAGAATAGAGTTGATTTATGAAAAAAAGAAAAATAATTTCGGTTTGTAGCAATCCGTCATAGGTTTAGCAATATGTCATATTTTTTTACGAATAACATATTAATAGCTGAACAGAAATATTACCTTAAGTCGATATAATTTATAAAAAATATTAAATAGAACATAATTTTGTAATATTTTCGCTTTGTTATTCTATTACCTTGGTTTATTTTCAATCAAAATTTCTTTTAAGAGCTTTCGAATTTAGATCCATATTTATACTATCTTTGTTGATTACTATTAAATAAAAAAAAACTATGAAAAATTACTATTTTTTATGTCAACATTGCTATGAGCAGAAAAGATTGTCACGAGTATGTACGGCGATGAATCAAATAAATACTCTTCGGGTGAACTATACTTCACGGAATGATAAAATCGAAAAATGAAGTGCATGCACTCTAAACATTCGTTAAGAGCGCTATTTTAAAAATAGTACTGAATTATGACATTTGTTTTTATTATGAAATTGCTCATATATATCGAAGCTATTGTTAAAAGGACACATGCACTTTTTACTTGTTCTCCAATTCATTACTAGCAAGATAAAAAATAATGCCTATTTTTTTTTACCGGACATTATTTATATAATCTTGTATACATATACAAACATATGTACACATAGATTCGAACATATATCGCATGCTCTTTGTATATAGAAAGAGAGAGGCTACGAATATTTAGCAGGAAAAATTATCTAGTAAGCTCTATTTTGCGTACTTGGTTTGTTCTGACATCAGTAGGAAAATAATAAAAAAATCTTCTCTTTCTATGTTTATAGAAAGAACATGTTTTATACATATATTGAGCCTGAATGTTTTGTCAAAAATATCGAAGAATGTGATTATTCGTATCCTTATAAGAACACTACTAATTTTAGCTAGGAATGTAACAGTGTTTTCCGATATTTTATTTTTCCCTGTTTTCAAAGTTATAATCATATATTTTATTATACACAACAATTTCCAGTGTTTCATAATTTATTACACATTTCGTTGCAATTTTGATGTGCCAACTTTGGTCACTCAGTCCACCAATAGATCAATATTAATAGTAAACTCTAAACAACTTTGACAAATACATAACAATGATGTATAGTATATTTTCCGTGTCACTATACAAGTGCATTTCGTATAATATTAACTTTTTACTGCTTTTCTAATTTCTCACTCTGCAACGTGAATAGGATATTCACAAAAATCAAGTTGTTTCGGCATACAGCCACTTACGATTATTAAAAGTAATTTTAAACATTAATTGTGACTTAAAAAGGAATGAATAATACTGTTTTGCAATATTAAGGAGGACAATTTTTGTTTACAATGAAACATTCGCCCGAAGATAATGTAACAATTAATCAACATTTTTTTGTTTCCAATAGTTTATCTCAAAAAGTTATAATTGTTTTTAATATATCGCATAAGGCATAATTTGTAAAATTAGAATCTCAAGCCGAAAAAGCTGCATGACTTTGATTTCTCGTAAAGTTTAAATTTTCTTAATTGTTTGAATTATGTTGATTTGTTTTTACAATAGTATTAATTAGAGATTCAGATTCAAATCCACACGATGGGAGAATGTTCGTGATTTTCGCCCCATGTCAAAAGGCTGTTTCGAGTGCGGCGATATTTGTTGTTATCTCTGGATCGGAATTGCACGCATTCAGAAACTCGCCCAGCGTTACTACTCCATCTTTGTTGCAGTCCATTTTCTACAAAAAAAAAACTTAATTAGTACAAAAGTAGTATCAATCATTTAACAAATTAAAATAGTGATAATCGTTTGTAAATAGTCGGACTTATAACGGATCGAAGTATGCATTTTTCAGAGTTGAATCCTAAATCATAAAACAGTTTGAACCCCCAAAAACTCATGCAATGCATCGGTTACATGCAAGCAGTTTGACTATAAAACTTTAAAATTATGTCTCACCTTTTACTCATCATTGAATTAATGGAATTTTGAAAACGATATTTTATATAATTCTTACAACTAAATGCATGCGTCCCATAATGGTATAACTCAGTTTATAATATTTTCGAGTTTTTGTCGAATTATAAATCAGAACGTTTCAATTTCAAAATTGAGATGATCAACAGAAAAACAGCATACTTTGAATTAAAAAATATTTTTATCTTACATTAATCTTTATAAACTCAAAAAAGATAAAAAAGCTTAGACAAAAATCTAGAAAAAATTGAAAAAATAAAGAAACATTAAAACATCGGAAAATAAAAGAAGCTTATAATAAGAACAAAAACATAATAACAAAAAATCGAATAAACCGGAAAACATCACTATATAAGATTGTTTATAAGTACCTTCCCCCTTCCTCACTACACATTGATTCAAATTCTTTAAACTTAAAACTTATCAATTGTTATGTAAATAGGGAAAGGTCTTTTTATCTTTACACTTTTTGTATTTCCCTGTAACAACTATTAACTACTAGCGTTCCAATAAAAGTCGTTGAAACAAATCGTCAAGCTCGTCATAAAAAAAATATTAAGACATAAAATGGAGCCATGTTTGTTTATTTTCATATTTATCACGATTTGTCATTGGCATCGCGCGTTTGGAGTTCATTTTTACTTTTTTTTTTTCAAAAATGTTCTATTTTTTGGGTCAGAGTATAAATTATATAACCTTTTCTAATGATAAAGTTTTAATTGTTATAAATTTTTTTAATTTTTGAGGAGGTTACAGCGCGGAAAGTTTAGAGATTACCTATGACTATTTTTATAGATTAAAATGTGTTGAATCCGATAATAGCATTATTTTTCCCTAGGAAAATTTTGAGATATTTCGTCTTAAAATTACCATTTCGTGAGACGGAGTAAGAAAATTTTGGAAATTGATATTTTACTATATTTTAAGGAAATAATTGCATGGTAGAAAACTAACATTTTATAGATAAAAACTTAAGTGTTTAGATGGTATATTGCAAAGTATAGAAACCGTGGGGTTTTTTAAGTTATTAACGAAAACATTGCTTAAAAGTACCGAAAATCGATGCTGTGGCGCGGGACTTATTTACTAAATTGCTTGAGTAATTTTTTCTAATGAATATTAAAATCTTCAAATTGATATGTACAGGGTGATCCATTTTGATTGATGTGGTCGTTTATTTCCTTTAGGAAGCATGATAGCAAAAAATAATTCAGATAAAAGTTGTAGAACTCAGAGGGGGCCAACTGATGGTGACTTTAACGTGACCTTGAAATCGTTTTTTAAAATCATTTGAAGGTAAATTTTGTTTTTTTCAAATCGAAACTCCTATTTTTGATCTCGGATTCGGAAATTTTACATTTAAATAAAGTATCATATGTGGGATCCAGTCCATTCTACGAGGGTACATAGAGATAACCTTAATCTATTCTTGATCTTTTTACCAGATTAACGCAACAATCATAAAATTTAGTGGAAAAATTTTTAGTAAAAATTTTCTAACTTAAGACGGGGAATGTTTTCATGACCTTGTCTTTATCTTTAGTGATAATTTCAAAGCTTATGTAGTCATCTGTAATGAACATATGAAATATCGAATAAGTCATTTAATGTACTTTTTATAATAACACGATTAATAAATTGCCAAAGTGATGAGTAGAACAAAACGATATTTGAATTTGAGGAGTCGATTTCAGTTTCTATTAACATACGATTTTTTATATACGACAATAATGTGAAATCGTTTATTAAACAAATTTTTTTTTACGAGCAAGCTTATTTCTCATAAAAGTATATTGTGTACACCGTACATTATGTAACCGTTTTTGATACGGGTGACTACACTCCAGCCGAAATTGTTGATATGATGTTGATTCTGGCAGAATGTCATGGCAAATATGACGCAGCTACTAGACTTTATGCACAGAGATACCGACGTAAACGTCACCTAATTGCTAATATCATTCGGACCCTGAAAATAGGAGCATGAAATGGTCATTTGCGTCACCAACGACGACACGATGAGTATGATGCAAATGACGATCGTGTCTTGGTAATATTAGCACTTGTTCACATGAATCCTCACATAAGCTCGCATCAAATAGTCAGAGGGAGAGAGAGGGAGAGAGTGGCATTACCAAGAAAACGATTCTAAGAATTTTACGAGCAATGAAATATCATCTCATATCATATTTCTTTAACTTAAGCTTTCCCACGCAATGATTTGTTAGAACGTACTCATTTTCGTTAATGTGCATTATAAATGCTTAAGTTGAATCTAAACTTTTTTCAATTTGTTCTTTTTCCTGATGAAGCAACATTTAAAAGTAATGGAAGTTTGGGGTGACTCGTAAGGCTATTTCTGCTTATTTCTGCTATATGTATTTATATACTAAATATCATACATAGTTTTTTAAGGGACTGTATTCGCAATAGTACATTATTTTTCTAAATAGAGAGTAGTTACATTCTTAAGTTGCACTTTTTTACATAATCTAGTATTCGTTTGCAAGCTTCAATGTGCGGTTCCGCAATAAACATTTCTACACATAAAAGACGATGAAAACATAGTTTAGCTAATTTTTTGTATAGTGTGTGTCTTTGCTTATCAAATAATTCACATTACCATAGAGCATGATTGATATTTTCGTCTTCTTTTCCGCAAACACATTTGGATGAGTTAACTACATTGATTTTTTTAATGATTCTGCCATATGTTAATGGTTTGTTCTCACTCGATTTATAGAAACTATTAGCTCTCGAGATAGTTTGATGCCATGAAATCAAGGCTTGATTATTTCATTAAAATTTTTTGGCAATATTGTTTTCCTATTGATTTTCCTAATTCAAGGATAGTGGCATTTGTTTTTTCAAGAACCTTTTTTAAGGGCTTCAGATATATCAGTGAAAGGATCTTTTAATATGTTTATGTATGCTTTGTCAGTGGCTCTTCTCGCTAGTTTATCAGCATTTTTGTTTTCCTCAATTCCGACGTGAGAAGGTAACCAAAAGAAATAACCGATAAAGTTAGAGTTATTGTCTTTAAATAATTCATATTTTTGCTTTATGAGAAGTATATAAGGATTTGTATTACATTTATCATCTCTAGACTCGAGACATTGAAGAGCACTCAAGAATTCAATGAATATAAAAACATTCTGATCGTCATAATGGAGCACGATATCCATTGCTGAATGGAGGGCAATACATTCACCTGTAAAGACGGATGCATGGTTGATGACGCTTTTGTAAGTTTCGATATTGAGAGAAGGCACCACACATGCTGTTTCTACATATTTGTTTTACTGATTTGCTACTGTCGGTATATACATTCAAGGAGTTATAGATTTTAAAAATTTTCGCAGAGCGCTATTTGGATCTTTTTCTTGTTTCAATTGATCTAGAGTTTTGTTAAATGGGATAGAAATCGTATTCCTACTATAGCCGTAGCTATAAGTGACACAGTTATTTGGCTGTTCTATGTGGAAAACTGCCATTATTACTATTATTATTATTATTATTATTATTATTATTATTATTATTATTATTATTATTATTATTGGTATTATTATTAGTATTATTATTATTATTATTACTATTATTATCACCTCACTATTATGAAAACCGTCACTGGTTTCGATCAGTTGATCACTAAAATCGCTAGAGTATCAATGTTTGGTATAGAATTGTGAATGGTTATTTGGTTTGATCTTACGTCTTTGATGACAATGTAAGTGAACAACATTTTTTAAATTATTCGCGATCAGTTACCTGGGCTAATAGAAGATGTAGATATAGTTACTCGACAGATAATGTGGATACAAATAGATAGAACACCTTCACATTACGCACGCATAGTAAGGAATTTCCTTAATTAAGAATATATACTGATATATGGATTGTACGTGCGGAACCATTCGCATGGCCAGTTCGTTCCCCCGATTTGAAATCATCTAATTTTTATTTGCGAGGATTCTAAATAATTTAGTTTAGCAAGAACATACAACCACAAGAAAAAACATGATTGAGAGAATTAAAGCAGCCTGTGCTGCCACACCTAGAAATATTTTATTGATTACAGTGGGATAATTTGAAAAAAGATTTGTGCGTTGCAGTTCATTGAGGAAATTTTGAGTACTTGTTAAATAGTTAATTATAATAATTATAAAAATAGTTATGTTATTATTATGATAATTATAAAAATGATATTTTTTGTACTGTCGTAGTTAATTTCGTAATGAGTTATAATTTGTTTCTAAGACATATGTATTTAAGTTTATCGTGCCAATAAAACAATGAATTGTTGAAAAAAAATTTTTTATGTTTTTTTTTCATTCCGAAATCTTTATCATTATTCATGACCCAGATGGGTCTATTAAATCCAACCCAACTTAACTCTACACGTGATTTTTTTGTGTAAGTGAAATTTTCTGTACATTTCAGATGCGGATACAATAATACGAGTTCCTGTTTGAAAAAAAATAATTTGACGTTGACATGACCTTGAAATGATTGAAATAATCACTAAAAAAATCAAAGGCAAGGTCATGAAAATTTTAGCTAAAAAATGTTCCGCTAAACTTTATGCTTGTTGGGTTATTCATATAAAAAGATCAAGAAGTGATTAAGATGACCTCTGCGTAACCTTCATAGGGTAGACTGGGCTCCACATATTATACCTTATCTGAATGTAATGCTCTATCTGAATCCGAGATAAAAAATAAGGGTTCCTATTTGAAAAAATAAAGTTGACCTTTTCTGAGA